CTTAATCACTCAAATAATATTTAAAAATCATTTGGCATGTAGTGGGATGTGGTTGGACATATATTGTCTATGGCAATTCCTTTGCTCTGAAGAGAGGTGGAGCTGTAAGATGCCAGAACGCCTCAGTTTGTATGAGCAGTCCTGCTGAATCTACTGGAGATGTCTATGATTAAAATCAAGAACAGCGATAAGTGCTACGTAGAGATTCAAGTATAGTTACTGGGATTGTATGCCTGGAGTCCAATGTGTCCCAGTGCCCTCTCCACAGACAGCTTTTTAATTCTTTCACTTAAGTTCAGTTACTTTGTAGCCCTGATGAACATATACTCAATTTGTTTTGGATAATACAAATTTTGAGGGTTTCATCTGAGCCAGTCTACTGTCACACTGCTGTGTGATAAAGGTAGGTTTTATTCCTGAAGTTATGCTCAGAGTGCAGTAACAATTATATATATTTCTATGAGCTCTTTGTCCTAATCTTGCCCAGTAGATGGTACTGTTGGCCATGTTTTGTAATTTTGAAGTTGTTCATTAGTTGCATTTTTTTAATTTGTCTTCTGCACTTGACCCACTCTTCCTTTTTCATCCCTTTTATTTCTGCCTGCTCTCCTAAATATCATTTTTACCCTGTAGAAAGCAATAGTAGGCTTTATTCTGATTTGATCTCTATGAGGTCTTGTGCACTCCTGAAAGGGCAGAAATAACACTTGGTTGAAATAGTCTGATATTTGTTGCTCTGGGTTAGATACATACAGCAGCAAGGAACTAATTTAAAAACTGAATTGTGTATGGTTTTTTCCCCGTAGGTTTGCTTCTCTAAGAACTGATTTGTCGTGTGATAGACTGTCCTCATTTTTTGCAAATTTATTTGTATTTCACATTGATTGATGGATATACTTAGCATTTTTACCAGATGAGGAACAAGATAACTAAAAGCCCTTTTAACATATAATTCCCCCTGAATAAAACTAAATAAAACGAGTGCCTCCCAACCTTCATGACAAAACAGAGAACCCTTATTAGAAATAAGAAAGTGCTGAAGCCACGGAGGAGGGCTAGAGGCAGTCTGCTTGTGATGTTATGCATAGTTAGATTCTGGTCCATTTTCACTGAAAAAGTGAATTTCTGCAGTTGAGCACAACGCATGGTGCGAAAGGCAGATCAAGGGGCTGGAGTACCATTTTCACAAGGGGAACAGAAGCAGCTTGTGTTTAGCATAGTAAGATGAAATTTAGAGGTGCAGAATCCCTCAAATCAGAGGTATACCTAGAGAGTAAGTGCTGGGAAAAAGAAAGAACAGAGTAATGTTGGGTTAAGAACAAATGAGAATAAACTGACTGAATAAATTTAAATGGGAAGTTAGAGGAAGGTTTTTCAAGTAAGAGCTCTCAGAAAACTGTTTTTTAGAAAGTATATTTAAGAAATGGGATTTCACTAGAGTTTGCAAAAAGTGCATACACTTCTGCTTTGCAGCTGAAGAATCCATGAAATACTTTGTCTGGTACAGTTGCCTGCAGGAAACAAAGGTCTTGTTACAGTAACTCATGATATTATATCCTAATTCTGTGGACATTTTAACGCATTTTTAATTTTTTTAAAAAATTGTTTATATTTAGCAGTTGTGAATCCTGTAGAAAATGCTAACATACAAATAGTCAGAAATGGTTCAGAAAGTGTTTATAGTGTTTGATCATTGTATGTTTAAACCTTGATTTTCCTGAATGTATTGTTTTGTTGAATGAAAATTAAAACAATCCTGGGGGTTGAATTGGCACTCCAGTAAGCTGAAATGCTAGTATATCAGGAAATCATTTCCTGAGGATCTGAAAATGTATCTCAGCATCAAGTGGAAGGAATCTGTAGTAATGCTTGGATGGAAGTTACTGTTTAATTTGCTTTTGATCCTTTAGCAGGAAACTACTAAACAGGGCAGTTAAGTAAGTTCTGTGTTGTATACTTAATCAATAACAATTGTACTCATTCTGCCAACACAGTTTACAATACATGTTAAATGAAAAGAACTTCAGTAAGAGTATAAAAAGTGCATTTTTGCCTTTGTGGCTCATCTGTAGGAAGCTCTGAAAGTGAAACTTTCTACTTAATTGTTACATTTATTTGTATTTATTTTACTGTAGGTTTGCTCAGCAAAACTTTTGAGATTTCTTCCTCTTTTCCTTCTTTTAAGACTGTTGTTTTCACTGGAAAATGGGGATTGATTTTCTTGTTCAGAACTTACTTAATGTTTGCAAATAGGCATTTGGCAAAAGTGAATTAAATTCATACCCAGCAACATTTCTAACTTATTCTTTTAAAAACTGAAGTGATTAAAATTAAGCTACTTTATGAGATTATTTTAAAAGTACTTGTTAATTGTCTGACTTTGTTTCCATCTGTTTTACTTTAATGTTTTCCATCCATGTTTGCTTTACTGGACAGATTTCAGGAAAATGCCTTAATCCAATGCAAATTTATATATTTACTTGAGGAATTTTGTGACTAAGAAACACATTTTTCTCATAATGCTGTTGGTAGTTCCCTAAAGGTTGGCTCTGTGTCTCCTGCTTGGACCTTTATACTGTCAAGACAACAGGAGAGACTAATGAAGATTGTAGGAAGGGTGCTCTTGGTATTATTTCAGCTTGGATCACCAAAATAGAGAAAATGTTGTAAAAGAATCTTTTCCTTTTTTCTTTTCCTTTGTTCTTATTTTTTTTTCTTTTTTCCTATTTCTTTTTTTCCTATTTTTTTTTTAATATATATATATCTTAATTTTTTTTGAATGAACACAGATACCATCACCGTTAATATAAATCCCTTTCTGTCATCCTTCAACAATAGACACAGGCAGCTCTTGCTCTGTGAGGGCTTCGTGCAATATGTTATTCTGCACAGCTATCTATACTGTTTTTCAGTAATTAACTTGTGTCATAAGTTTTCCACTGCTGTTCTTCCTTGACTAAAACCAGAGCATGACTTGCTAGATCTGAGGCATATTTCTGGTCAGCTGTTGAGAGATCACTGTGCAGAGGTTTTAGTTTGGGAAACAGAGAGCTAAAGCAGTTCTGTCTGCTGCAAGTTCATGACTGAACACTTGTGAGGGTTAAGCAGGAGGCCCTAGACATCCATAGAGACAAGGCTGTGAGAAAAGCAGGACTGTAGGAGTCAGACCTGTCTGGTGGCCTACAACCAGTGTCACGCTGTCCTGCCCACTGAGACAGGGAACAGTGGTCATGCTCAGCTTTAGCCCTAAAGCCTAAGCCCGGTTTAATATGCTATGCTATTTCTGCGGTGAGCATCCTCAAATAAAAGACTATCCAGGAGCTGCCTCTCTGCAGTCATCTGTTTTTAGGTATTTGATGCATATCAGTCAGCCCCCTGAAGTCCGAAGGGCAGGCTAGTGTCAGAGTGGCACCAGTGGTGTATATGGGCTTAACACAGATCAGGCCATACAGAAAAGCTTTGGATATCAACTGAACTCTTCAGAAACACCTTAAGCGCGTCTATGTTTGTTATGGCCAGTCAGCCACTGGAGTGAAGCACAGCATTCAGGTCTGTACCTGTGTCTTCCTGCTGAGCCAGCTGCTGCTGCAATGTGCCTTGTAGAAACAATAAGGTTTTGCCTCTAGTATCCACCATTTTCTGAGGCAGCAGACAAAGCGCAAATAGCAAAAATCAGCTCAGCCGAAGTAGGGACCAGATGGGGTGCTGAAGTCAGCTGTGAGACACAGGGATCCTCTTCCAAGTGGTAACTGTTTCTTTTCGTTGGAACAGCGTAAATTTCTGTCCGCAAACTTGAGTGTGAGCGTGTGGTGTTAGGGTATTTAGTGTCCTTTCAAAGCTGAACTTGTGGTCTTTCAGTCCAGATGGATTTGTTGGCAGCTTGTCCACAATTGCATTTCTGTTGCAAACATAGCTGATTTTAAGCAAAAAACTTGGCTTTCATTCAGAACCACTTGCAGACCACAGCAGGGCCCAGTATAAGTGGACATGCTTCATCCCGTACTCTCCTGAGGCGCAGAGGGGCACAGTGCCAGGACTTTCCTGAGGCACAATGCTGGGCAGTTTTTCTCCTTATTTACTCAATGTAAAATTGCCTAGTTAGTGATGCAGAAATATGCGTAGCGCTTCTGCTTTAAAAAGGCATTCCAGCAGGTGGGTACAGGGGAGCTTAGAAAGACTCTCCTGGACCTGTTTTTTTCTGTTGATCTTCTTTGATCACAGCACCTCACTTCTAGAGACATTTGATAGAGCTCAGATAGTTACACCCCCTTTGCTATTTAAAGTAGACTGTCACAGACAAAATACTGCCTTTAGTTCAACCCATACACCCAGCTGGGCCTGGAAACCAAGTAGTGGCTGGGAAGCGGGAGGTTTATTTTCGTCTGGTAGCACAGTAATTATTACGGCATTTGGAAGACGCTTTTCTGCTGGCGGCAGGATGGTATAACTCACAGTGATGCTGTGTAAGCACAGCATGTGGGATATTGTTGAGCCTTGCTTCTGGCTGACAGTAATATCACATTCAGTGTGTAATTAAACAGTTCATAAACTGCCTTGAGATGTTTGTTTATGGGCACTTTATAGCAGAGAAGTGCAGTGTTTTGCAGGATGCTGGAATTTTTGTGCTCTGCAAAGCATTTGTATTTGATATGCCTTTTCTTTGACACAAATACTCAGTGACTAGAGTGCATTGTTCTGCTGTTGATGAAAGACATACAGCTAAGGTGATTTTCCTGCAAATTTCTGTTGCTGATTTTTGCTTTCTGATATTTTAGCAAACTACCTGTGGATGCATCCGTATCAATACTTTAGTAAACTATAATTTTAGATAACAAAATGAGTTTGTGTTTTGCTTTTCAGAAGCAATGCTTATTTACAGCAGGATAAGCAGAAACACTTAGAAATTGGGTAATATGGTGAGGATACTGTGTAAATGATGATGTAAGAAAGCGCTAGTAAATTTTTGCTGTACTTAATGCCACTTGTTTTGTTTCTACCAGTTTAGAGTGAATGAATTTGGAGCCCTGGAGGTGATAACAGATGAAAATGAGATGGAAAGTGTTAAAAAAGCCATGGCTACCACCACCTGGATGGTTCCAACTGCTCAAGAAGGTCAGCTAAGAAGTCACTGAAGTTTTCTGTAGTAGTCTGTAGTTTATATAATGAACCAGTTTTTCTACAAGATTGCCCCCCAAATTAAAATTAAAATGAAAAACTTATTTGCTTAATGCAGAAAGTATCTACCTGTTTCTTTGGATGCTGATAATTATGAAATAAATGTGTTTTAAGGTAAAAGGAAATAATTCCACTGTTAACCATCTGAAGTTGAATTATCGCCACAGTTTTCTCTTACAGTATTTTTTTTTTAAGTTTAGAATTAGTATTTTTGTGTTTAATTTCAAAAGCGGTCAACTTCTTACTCTAAAATGTTCAGAATTTTTTTGCTGTTATTTTTATTAAGCAGGTTCTCCAGACTGCTCACAGACTTAACTGACCTCCTACAGTGTTCATTTCTGTCTGTAAACAGCCTTTGTGTAACCTTAGTTGCTACTCAACTGCTCCCACCAAGCTCAGTTTATGTCTCTGCACTTTTTCCTTGCTTCTGCTGACTATACTTTATCACAACATTAAAAGTAGCATGTAATAACCATTTACATTTATCATGAGTGGTGACATTCTAATAATTTTGTAGTGTCTGTCTACATAACAAGGTGCAAAACAAGATACAGTGTGTCCTTTAAATAAAGTATTGATGTGAGAAAACACTTCTAGTGTTCAGGGGACGTTGGTTTACATGGTTCAAAATTCTGAAAATTTTGATACAATGATGGAACAGCATGAAAGAATAGCACAGCTGTTTTTGTGGTTGCTTACAACTACTTTTTTTTTTTTTTCCTTCTTTTTTATATTATATGTTATCAATTTTCTTTTTGAATATGCATTCTGTAAGTTGAAAACAGAATTTGAAATTCCATTGTAATAATCGTCAGTAGCCTTTCACAAAACAGAATAAGCAAAGTCAATGAAAGTATTCTTTTGCTGTTGCCCCATTGTCATGTGACTTATATAAATAATTGAAACATTTGTATCAATGGGAAACTAGCTTGGATCTCAGCAAAAAGATCTGAATCTTCACATTACTGCTTTTGGTCTATAGGTTTCCAAGTCAGTGATTACTTTTAAAATATTCAAGATCCAGATCTGTGATGAGAGTGACAGCAACATAATAGTGTAGTAGTGCAGCAGATTCTCTCTTTCGACTGAGAGATTACAGTTTGCCTACAGAAAAACATATCTTCATCCCCCAATGTCCAGTAAGCCTGAAAAATCTCGCTACTGAAGTCAGGTGTGATTTTGGGCACATAAACATATTAAGCAATCATCACAAATATCTTACACATTCTTTGATTAATTCGTTGCTCCCCAAAGATATAATCCTGCTAAAATTTTCAGTTATGTGAGGGAATGATTGATTTGGACTGCTAATGACTGGGGAGTAAATGTATCACGTAAATAATGTACTATTCTAGTGGAGATAGTCTGCACACAAGAGTTCACTTGACTCAATTTTTAAAGACAGTTTGGTATTCCAATAAAATAAATAGTGACTTGAAATTTACCTTTTGGCAGTGTAAAGTGAACAGCCTTCTTTAGGAACTGAAGAACTTCAGTGCTGAATATTTGACTGTGAGCAAAAGTAACAGCATACTGCCCTAGGCTACATGCCTCCCAAGGGGAAGTCATAGCTTAGGGTAAATTACTAATTTACTGTTTTAAAATCTATTTGCTACAAATTAGTTGTTTGTTTATTTGTTTTTCACTTTTGGTAGACCTCAGGATTGTTGAGCAATAGCTGCTGCAGTAAAAGACTGAAATGTAGTTAGTGATTTATTTCCAGAAGTAAGGTATAAACTATTAAAAGATAACTTCTCCCCAGATGACCCTACATGTCAAATATGAGTCATGTCAGTGCAACATGAGGTGATGAACTCTGCAACAGCAACTCTCCAGATAGTTAGCATAGTTCCTATCAGAAAATTCACTCTTTCCATGAGTAGCAACTTCAAGCAGTGTCAGTGTGCCAGTGATGCCAGGAAAATGAAATCAGTAGATTTTTTCTGGTGTTTTAATATGAAAACTTGTTGGGAATAAACCCCATACAGACATCAGTTTTCAGTTCTTCATTCTAACAAAAGTGGCATGACTTCAGTTTTCTGTTTGCTTACAAGGCTTGCTAAACATCATTGGAAATGTATCACTTCTACCTAAGTGAATTTATTTTTTCATTGTGCAGCCTTTTCAGAAAAGACAGGGATCTCCTCAAAGTTGAAGGAAACTGCAAAAATGGATGGACTTGTTTTCTGTGAAAACTGTTATCACTATGGTACTGTAGAAGAATTTGTTCCTGAAGGGAAATTTTGCAGCCAAAAATGTGCCCAGCAAGTAAAAAACAAGTAGGTACTATTATAAAGCATAGAAGCAAATAATTTGGCGTAAATGCAGCATGAGATAAAAGTGGTGTGATAAAGCATTAATGGTGTGGCAGCCATGTTTTGGTGAGTCTCCAGCAGTTTATAACATTCTTTCATTGTTTTTAAACTCAGTGAGTTATGAAATATTTGCTTTTTGTCTAATGCTGATGTTGAAGGCGGTCTTCTTTATTCAGAGAGTGCTGTGTTCTGCTGTCAGATGCAAACAGCGATACAGTCTATGGGATGTATGAATCAGTGTCAAACTCCCACCCTGTTTCATAATCACTGAAATTAAGATAATCAGTAATTAGATGGTTGGTGTGGTAAGTTAATTGTAATTAAGTTCAAGAGCTGTATTATAGATGACAGTGAGTAAAAACATGAATATACTGTGGTTTCTCGGTTCCTTTTCTTTGAGCTACTGCAGTTCATCTCATCATAAATGAAGCCTTCAGTTAGTGGGTCCATTCCATGTTACGTTCTGCATTACAGCAATCTTTAACATCTACGTTTTTGTGCATTTCCTCCATTTTTAGTTAATTGCTTTGCCATTTTCTATTCTGATTGCTTGTTTAGCAATTTGTTCAGTCATGTATCAACTTTCTCCAATTGGATTTGTCAGACTTAATGATTACCTTTTCTTTCCTTTCTGTAAACTGCCTTGCAGTCCTAAACATTTCACAGTTTGCTTCTTTGCCAGATTTGGTGGTACGTGAGAGAAGACTATTTAAAACATGCTAAACTGTTCAGTGCAGGCTGACAGCTGTCCTTTTGCAGTTCTATTGTTTGTCTTTCAGCTTAATTTTTTGTAATTTTCAGTAGTTTTTCTAAGAATATATTTTTCATAATGCCTTCATAATATTTTTCATAGGACCTACAAGCACTTGACCTTTAGATTTACTTGCATTTTACTTCTGTTATGAATATGAGAAATGAAATAATATTTTTTATCATTGTGTTGCTCCTGAAATAGAGAACCAAAGGAGGAAAAGCCCAGCATGGAATGCAATGGGGATGATGAATCCAAAGTCATTCGGAAAAGAAAAACAAAATTACCTCTCAAAGAAGAGTCCAGGGATAATGAGGAGAAGAAAGATAATCCCGATGAAACTGTTAGTATGCATCATAAACTCATTTCTGCAAACATTTTAGTAGGAATTTTGCCTTATATTGCAATGTCAATAGATTCGTCACTCTGCAAATAGAAGTGACTTCATTACTCCATCAAAGCCACAATAAGTACTTGATTCACTTTTAATTATGCCTCTTCAGCACATTCTAACTGTTGACAAGGGATAGAAACTGCTTTTTCTTTTTCCTATTCCTTCCTTCCTTTTTTTTAAGAATAGAACAAAAGGAACTTAAAGGAAAAGTGATGCCAATCCAGAATTGTTAGTACTGTAGTATAGAAAAACAAAGCAATGTATTTCCCAGTGCCTGTTACTTGTTTACTTTACACGAGTAAACAATTACAGACTAGTAATTTATTTGTAAAGAAAGTTCTGTTACAGTTAAGGAGAGTATACTTTTGATTTTGTAACGTAATTTGCTTTAGAAAAGCATAGCCAACGGTTACCAGGAGTTTCTCTGATTCAGGAAGAAGCATATGCCAATTGTTTGATTTTGGTGTTCTGATTTATGCTTAGTGGTGATTACCATAATCTCCACGAGTAATTATAAAGATATAAAAACACACTAAAGCAAACAAAGCAGCCATGTCCAGCTCTGATTATACTTACAGGGATGAGTAATCTAACCTCCAAGACTTCCTCACTAGAAGGAAGTTCATGTGGCTCTTGCTGTCATTGCCCTAGCTTGTTCTGGAGATTCTGGCTTGTGGTGACAGTTGCTACTTAAAACTGAATGCTAGAACTTAGGAGAAACATTTCATCTGTGCTTGAAATACTTTTCTGCACCAGAAGAAGCAGCACACACAGTCTTATCTACTTTGTTATTTTTAGCAGTGGATGGGTTTAACAGTAGGAGTTGTCCACTGTCAGCTCTAGGTGGCTTCCACATTTACACGTGTTGTTCCTCAAAGGCCATACGTGCAAAAATTCTCACTCCTCTGGTTGGCTGTGGAGTATTTCCTGAAGGAGTAAAAATGGAAATGAAAAATTGACTGGGATTTGGGTTTGTGTTATGCTGCAGTGTAATGCACTTTGGGGCACCTTTGTTTTTTTCCTTTTGGAGTTATTTTTCATCTGAGGACAAGAATTTGCAGCAGCTTCCCGTGATGTTTGTTTTCCTCTCAATAGCTGTGGCGTTACTGAGAGGAGCACTGTTTGGAGGGAGAAGGGGAGAGCACTGCAGTCACAGAATTGTGGAAAGACACGTGTCGAAAGAGAGTCCACAGCTTTCTGTATAACAGTGTCCTCAGGAAAAATTTGAGGACAGCTCCTTTGCTGCTATGTGTCTGCTCTCCCAAATGAGGACTTGTTTTGTTCATCTGTTCAGATGCTTGGAAATCTGTTACTACACAAGCAGTGAAATAAATAAAAAGGATCAGTGTCATTTTAAAGCAGAAAAAGTTGTGCAAAAGGTTTGCCTTCACATTAATTTGGAAGCATGAACATATCAAAAGTACAGCTATTTATGTCCATCTCAATTGGTCCTACTGAAGACTCACTGATCTGTCCCTGGCATAGACAAAGCTGTGCTGGCTGAGAGCCAGGTGCTGGGAGTATTCTGTCATTTCCACTGTGTTTGCTGTGATTTATTGCTTGCTTTGTTTTTATTAGACATCTACAGGTTTGTCTGAGATAACGGAGATCTACCTGGAAGCCATTTAAATGAAGTCAAAGTTAAACTTCACATGTCTGTTTCTTATCTGTTAGACTTCTGAACTAACGTTTGAATACTTTTTATTTAGGAGGATAAATCTGAAGGCAGAATTTTGAGAGTCTCACAGAGAGCCAGAAGAAAAAGAAAAGGGGATATAACAGTTTTGAAACAAAGTAAGTTAAATTATGAAATAAAATCTCAAGTGTCACTTATTTATGTGATACCTACCTCTTGCTGTGGATTGCCAGCATTGTTTCACCAAATTTTTATCCACTGTTAAATACAGTTTTGGCCATCTGCAAAAAGACAGTGTCAGTGTTATTTGTAGTAATTAAGTTGTAAGGACTGAAGAACTCTGAGAACCAAGTGGCAATATTGGGGATGTAAAATGACTCTCGGCGATTGATTGCCTTTTACAAAGAGCCAGTTTATATATGCCTGGCAGTGTGGAGTTATACAGTAACTATAAATGTAGCTGGTGCACAATTTAGATTTTTTTTCATCCCTCTAAAGAGTGCCAATTTTAAGGGGAATCAGACCCATTTTGTTCCCAGATGTTGAAATACATGTATTAAGCAGGAGTGAAAGTTTCCTTTTCTTTCCTGGGGGATCAATTTTGTATCTATGATATGGCTGGAAATAGACACATTTATGGAACTGTTTAGGAATAATTGCTATAATCAGTCCAAAGGGAAATATACTGCATGAAGTGGCATAATAAAACATTCTTTAAATGAGCACTGCTTTTTCAAGCTGTTAACATGATAGATACTTTTTGGAAGATTCAGAAAATCAGTACTCACCAGAAAGCTACATGTTCGCCCTCCAGGGTGTTTCTTTTGGTATGCTGGGAGCTGTTACCAGAAGTTGCCTTTAGCACAGAGCTCCAAGTAGCTCTGCTGCACAGTATATGATACAGTGTTCGAGGATGCAATGTGTAAAAAAGTTACACAAGATTCTCTTCCTGAGATAGAATTACTCCTGAAACGTAAATACTGCAGTTTCTGCAGTTGTATCCAGAACTGGGACCGTATCAAGTATATGGGATACAAGCACAAAGCTGATTCTGACTGGACACTGCTGTCCACTGACATAGTGATTTGTATAGATTTGTCTTGTTTGTTTGTAGGCAAAATGTGTGTTCAGAACCAAACGTATAACTGTATTATTTTGCCAAGAAACACATCTCTTAAATAGCAGAACAGATAACAACTGGGTTAATCACAAGTAAAATGGGCTTTAAAAGCATTGAACAATCACTGTGGATGTGAATTTTGTTATATTTTGGTTGAATTATGTCTTTGGGAGAGTTTGGCATCACTATTGTTATGGTTCACATTTTAAATAGAAAACACTTAGCCAAAGTATTCTTTAAGAGGCTTATTTCTCTTGTGAGTAGCCTGCAATCAGTATCAGACCAGGATCACATCGTGGTTGATGAGAAATTCTCCTGCTGACATGAGCTTATGATCTGAATTGCTAAGCTACGTGCATGGAAGAGGAATTTTAGACAGTGAGCAGCAGAGCGGAGTGGAGGTATATTAAAATAGATGTATACATGGCCAGCCTCACAAACCATCTGTTTTTGAAGTTCCTGGCTTTTGCTAGTGCAGTTAGTGCCTAGTTACTGCTCAGTGCTGTTTCCTTAAGATGAGCTATAATCAATAATGCATATGCAAGTGTATGCAAATGTCCATACTACATAGCTTCTCCTTTATGTTAATGAAAAAATGAGGCTGGAAAAAAAGGACCGGTGTAAGTTCTGATGGTCTGAAAAAATTATTGTTAAATCACTGCCTTTCTGCCCAAAACCATCAAACTGCGTAGTGAGTACTGTCATAGAATAAAGTGCTTCAACTAAGGTTAAAAAAAGAACATATCATGACTGCTATCCAACTGAAACTGCTTTACTGAATTGGAATTTTCTTTTTCTGAAGAATTTTTTTTAATATAGAACTACTTTGTATGATTTGATCTGATCTTCTTAAGTGTGTTTGTAAATTGTACATCTGAATGCTTTTATAGGAGCAATAAGAGAAAAGAGGCAGAAGGCAAGATTATGTAAGTTGTTCTCATCACAAGAATGAACTTTTTCTTCTTAATAATCAAGGGTGGAACCGATGGAAATAATTCTGTACAAACCTGCATGTTCATGGTACCTTAAACCCACACAATTACTGTTTTCTTGAAATAAGTCTCAGGAAATATCACGAATGCATTTAATAAAATGTAGATTTGAGATAGATATGTTATAAACATTTTGCTTATTTTATTTTGTTAAGAAATTAACAGAGAAATCTTTTTTTATTCTATCCTTTACAGCGGTATCCTCTAAAGGGAAGCAACTGTGGTGTTGGGCGTCCTATCTAGAGGAAGAAAAAGCTATTGCAGTACCTACTAAGCTTTTTAAAGAGGTATGACTTCTGAAGTTGAGGTCATCATCAACTAGTGAAGATCAAGAAACTTCTAGGGAAATCAATTGAAATAAAAATAATAAAATGTTACACTTCTCTAGTGATAAACGTATGTGATTAAGGCAATGCATCAGCAATCATCAAAGTATTCAGAATATGTGTAAAATTAGTTATCTTTCTCTGCTTTTTCAAAGAAATGTGTGGTTTTAGTTAAATGCTGTCAGCTGAGACCATAGAAAACAGCTGTTTTTCCAAAGTCTGCAAGTTCTAGTCTTTCTTTGTAATTTCTGAGGCTGAAAATCTGATATATATCCTAATTTTTATGTGACATATCATTCCCTTTAAATATGCTTAGAAAGCTGTTACAAAGGTCGTCTTTCAGCTTGTTGCTTTGATTATATTACCTGTCTTTTTGCAGCTCTTGCTGATGTCTTATGTCTTTTATTACATCTGATACTAGTTTGCCTTGTTCCCATTTTGCCTATCGTCTGATTAGATGTCACATCATCACCTCTTGCTTGTCCTTTGCCTGACGGTAGACTTTGTCATTTGCCATTTCAGTGGTTTTGCTTGTGCTGTCTCTTGCTCAGATGAGAGCTCTGTATGCAAATCAGCAAAGCTTTCGTGCTGCTCTCTTTTGCAAAAGCTGGCAAAACATACGAACATTCTCAGCTGCTGCACTTCTCCACTGTATAATTCTAACAGTTATACTTCTTTTTGATAATTCTATCCTTATCTTGGAGTCTCTTTCTTGCATCCATTTGTTTCACTTTGCTTTACACTCCAACTATTAGATCTCTCTTGCACAGAGATCAGCTTTTCAGCTTACACGTGTGTGTGGCTGATCTTTAATTGGTTCTCCTAGACCTTGCTGAGATATAAAATTAATTAACAAAGTAAATAATATTGCAGTGTAGAGAATCCAAAAATTTCTAAGTGCAAGAATGACAGTTATCTGACTACCATTTATTGTATCCCCCTGTGCTGTTCACTGGTTGAAAAAGTGACCAAAAAATCCTGGTAAGTAGTGTCACTATCTGAAATGTAGATTTCAAAAGTGTTGCTCTATCTGTCTGAAATTCCACGAAACGCTGCTGCTGCAGCACACAGCTTTTTATTTAGTGCACAGTACTTTTAACCCTGTAGCAGAGAGAAGATTCTTAATACCAGTCAGAAGAGGCCAGGTAATATTACTCCATTTTACAGATGGACAAGCAAACCACATAAACAGTAGTGTTAAAACAAAAACAAAGAAAAACATACCCAGCAACAATTTTGAATCCTTGTTTCTTGTTTGGGTTTTGAGAATTACTGTATTTTTTTCCAGTTCAGAAGCAATAATATTCAACAGGATTTTTTGTACTCTTTGTTAAATGGTTAGCATAACGGAGAAGCCTTCCCACTATCTGTTACTTAAATCTCAGACTCACTTCTAGGCTGCAATTGACAAGATCTTATTGTTCTGAGAAAAGGAAATTAACTGACCCTTGAGTTTTGTTTTTCTTCCATCTCCAGTTCCCCTGACACAATCTTCTGGGTTTTGTCTATGTTCTTGCACCAAAAAAAAACCAAACATTTCTAATTCTCATTTGCAGACTGCTTTTATATTTACTCTTTTGTTCTTATTTCTTTCCTTAATAATGTATCTTTAAATGTTTGTTATGAAGGAAATGCGTGATAACTGAGTTTGTTACAGACTTTACCTCCGGTGCTGTATGACATAAGCATAATGTACAAAATTGAAATCTGTTAAATAGCATTAAAGTTAATAGGCTCCTCAAAGTTGCTTGTTATTTTTCTGTAATGGGAATAGTGTGTTGCCTTAAAAGTATTCAATTTGACAGTGGAAAGCATTGCGGATAATTCATGTCTCATATTTCAGAAAATAGCTGGGTGATATTTGTGTCATACTGTTTGTCATACTTTGTAGAATTTGAAATTTACAATGTATATTATAGCCATGAAGGAAAAAACAGATCTGAGATGTAATTGTTTCTTTTCTTTGTACCTGCTTTTGCAAAATCTCTGTTACCTTTTTGGGTACTGTTCCTCAATTTCTTGCTATTTCCAGCATTTCATTGTTACAGTAAAATATTTTGTTGTGATGCAGTCTGTTGGAGCTGCAAGACATTGTATCAAGATGAGCTTGAAAAACTTCAGTTTATTGATTTATTTATTTTTTTTTAAATACTGTTTTTACTTTCATCTTGAGGAAGTATCCAGAATTATACAAATAGTGTAATTTTTTTGAATTTTAACTGGGAAGAAAAACCTCAAGCATGGCATTGCTAAGGTGAAATAACTTCTCAAATACTTGTACTTTAGTCAGCCACTCTGATCTCTCAAACTGAGCTCTCAAAATCTAACCTGTTTTTAGAAGGACTCTTCATCTATTAGCCGACCCCTTCCAGCTGACTTTAGCTGGTGTAGTTCTTCATTTCTCTTCCCCTTGACTGTGTGTTTCTGCCCCTGTGCCTCATACTGTATTTTTTTTCTCCTGGATATATTATTCAGATGAATTGCAGTCAGCACCATCAAAGAGATGATTCTCATCCTTTCATGTAGAGAGCTACAGAGGTCTCATCTTTCTCTGACTGGTGGTGCTGTAGATGTCTGGATAGCAGGTATAATTTTTAGGTAGCATAAGCTAGGTAAAACAGATCCTCTGTTTGTGTTTCTCTGTATTCATTTACCATCATTTACCAGAAGAGTTTTGGATGTTTTGGCACAAGTGTGCTCTATATTTTTATTCACTGTCTTATTTCTCTACATTTCTTCTTTTGCTTCTTAAGATTTTGAGTGAATGGATTATATGTTAACTGTATTTGATTTTGATTTGGTAATGCATATGTTCTTCTTGTATAAAAGTTTTTTGTTAGTATTCTAAGTTCAGGGAAAATCTGTGATGAAAGCATGCTGTGTACTGGTATCTGAAGCATGCAAAAATAATGTTAGCATCTAACTCTCTTCTATAAACAAGTGTTGCCTCTTAGGATAAGAAAAATATGCTATATCTTGCTAATCAAAGACAGCAACAAAAGGAAGGGGGAGCACATGTAGTACTTCTGTTGTGTTTTATCATTAACTGTTTGGGATATAAAAAACTGACTCTGAATTTAGTAACTCATGGAAAACTCTTTCTGATTTTATTCAGCTTTTTTTTTTTTTTTTCTGATTTTCTTCTTTTCTCCCTTCCCTTCTTAAATTGAACTTTATCTGTAGCTTCCTTCTGTAAGGAAGAACAAGGAACATGATACAGGGAAGCTGACACCTTCCTGTTAAAAAAAAAGTCATTTCACTTTTTTTTTTTTTTTCTAGTATGTTTTTCTGGATTCATTGTAGTATAATATAAGAATGATAGAATGGTTTGCAGTGAAAGGGACCTTTAAGATCATCTAGTTCCAGCTGCCCTGGTTATAGGCAGGGACACCTCCCTCTATACCAGGTTGCTCAAAGCCCCATCCAGCCCTGCCTTGAGTGCTTTCAGGGAGGGAGGGTTCACAACCTCTCTGAACAACTTGTTCCAGTGTCTCACCACCCTCACATTAAAGGATTTCTTCCTATATCTAGTCTAAATCTACCCTCTTCCTGTTTAAAGCTATTTCCCTTCATTCTGGAACTACATGCCCTTCTAAGAAGTCCTTCCCTAGCTTTCCTGTAGGCCTCTGAAAGAGTAATAATGTTCCACTAATGCAAAAATGTTCATGGAAAATGAGGTTATCTAGATTGAACACCTAAATGAGAAAATGATGTTAAAGAGGCAATCCCTGTATAGAAACAATACTTTGTATTTCTGCTTTGCAGTTCATCTTTGATGGTCTGAGATGGAGAAAAGGCAAAGTATCATTGAGTATCAGAGTATCATTTTTGTGATTGTTATAGAAATGCTTACCACCAGAAAGTTGTGAAAGTGTCACTGCACAGGCAGAAAAATAAATAATTTCATTGTTAGAATATTTTACAGGCAATTATTGAAAAAAGTTGAGGGATAACTTTGTTCTCTCCTTGTGAAACTTCTTCCAATTCCTCATAGATTTCCTAAATACTCAAAAGCTTTACCTCATTCTAATATCACTGTTTTTCGATTTCTCTTTTCCTCAGTTAAGTTCTTAAACATGAAAAACTTACTTTAAAATAACGCATTAATTCCTTCAGAAACACAATAAATAATCACTGTTGTTTTCCTTGTAAAGATATTCTGTTTTTCTTAGGTATTCTTTCAGAAGTACTGAAACTGTTCTTTTCCATTTCAGTATCAATCCTTCCCATACAACAAAAACGGATTCAAAGTAGGGATGAAGCTGGAGGGTGTGGATCCTGAGCACCAGTCAATCTATTGTGTTCTCACTGTGGCTGAGGTAATCTCCTGGCAAGTGTTAGTTTGCTAAGAGCAACCGTGGTGCACAGTCACAGAAGAAACTCCACTGGAAGAGCAGCTGCTGGAAGTAGAAAAATGTGAAGTTTCACAACTGATTTTCAGTGATTTTATAGAAGTTTATTAGTATTTCAGTTGGTACATTCACTGATAATTTATTTTTTTGGGGGGGGGGGGGAGGTTCATTGCAATTGTGCTACAATTTTTTTTTTCAGGTTTAGTGACTCAGAAATTGACTGTACTGACAACTTCTGTGAGTTAGTATACAGTATAAATGTTTTTATCTTTTGCTGTCTTATGAAGAAATATTTTTCATGAGAGATTTCTTTGCTTTTAAAAATGTAGATGAGAACCTATTTCTCAATTACAATTTTTATGTCTATTAAATGTACATTAATTTTTACAGCTTTAGTAAGGTTCATTTTTTTGGAGAGGAGTTGTTCTATACTGTAAAATGTGGAAACAAAAATAGGTAGATGCTCTGCATCATTGGTAAACAGCTGTAATTTCATTGTTTATATTTTAATAACTTAGGTTTTTTCATTCCCAATTCTGAATGGCCCATGGTGATATTCTGTTTCAGTGGATTTCTTCTACTTTCTTGTGGATGCTGTATGTCAGTAGATGAGTATTGCTTGTGTACTGGATACTTATCAGTAAGTGACAGGTCATTTTTTATGGCAGAATGACCTGCCATAAATTCTGAGGTAACATAAATCTTGTGTAATTCTGAGGTGACAAAATGAAAGTATAATTAAATATATAAAAGGGTGATTATGATGTTAAAAGAATTTCACTGATGACTGCAGGAAAAGTTACAGTATTCAGCACTCAGGAAGATGTGGGCAACTTTAGTCTGGATGAGAGGGATTGAATCTCCTGTTTTTTCCTTCTTCAATTATTATCTTATTACATAATGGAATAATGACGCTCTGGGGCATCTCTCAGTTGACTTTTCATCTTTAATGACAGTTATGGAGACCATGTTTAAACATAGTCATTTTTGTAGTTCTAGTGGTATTCTCTCTCACACTGGTGAATCAGGATAGCTTCAAATCATCATTACCTACACTGCTCTGTGATTGTATCAGATGCATATCCATAGTCTTTTGTAGGATTTCTGTTTTATTCTGATGTTGTGCTGGAGGAATTTTAAATTTTTAAACAGTGATAGCGGTATATAGCTCTTAGTGTTTTTTACCTGAAGAGGCAGCACTCAGATTGAGAATACCTTTACTTCTTTATCACGCTTTCTTTTTTATTAAGTTATCCAGTTCTAGCTTGAGCAGAGATAAAAGTCTGACTAAAAGCATGCTGTTAGTATGCATAATGCTGAACATAAGCTGTTGTGAACAGGGTGAGGATCTTAAATCCCAAGTACTGTATGCTCTTATGCTCTACATTCTTGCTTTTAGGTTTGTGGCTACAGAATACGACTCCACTTTGATGGATACTCAGACTGTTATGACTTCTGGGTGAATGCTGATTCTTCAGACATTCATCCTGTTGGATGGTGTGAAAAAACAGGTCACAAGCTTCATCCACCAAAAGGTATTTAGTTTGAATTGAATGCATTTTCTCAGATTGGATCTATCTTTGTAATGTAAAAAAAGTTTTTGGCAGAAATGTTTTTGTTCTTCTATTCAGAATATTTGAACATATCAAATTAAACTGTGTATTAAGTCTTGCTAAAATCTTGAGATTGAAAACTTGCCTTTTGAATTTGGTGGAAATTTATAGAAAGCAAGGAACAAAATGAACCAGAGAAGTAGTGCATAAGGCATTAGGAGAGAAAGTTAAGTAACAAATGTAGACCCCAAATGAATTATTTTTGTAAGTAAACAAGCAGCATCTTGGCAAGTGAGAATCTTTTAGTAGAAGGTTTCAGGACATTTTTATTATTACATACTGTGTACATTCATTGTTATAGACTAATGAAGATTGTGCTTTTGCCTTAAAGAGTAAGCTTTTAATAGATACAAAAATAGGAATTAAGAGATTGAGAGTGAGAAATAAGTTTACAACCTGAAAATATAATCTACAGGTAGTTTAAGTAAATGGCACAAGTGCGTTGAAATATTTTGAATTTGCTGTTTAGTTATTTCATTTCAGGTTACATAACTATTTTATTTTGTATTGGAGTGTATCTCTATAAAACAGTGCCGTCACAGAAGAACTGACAGACTCCTTTCTGGGGAGGGAAGAGAGTGTGTGTAGAGAAAGAAAGCAAGCCCTGAGTGCAGGAGAATGAAATAAATTAATGGGGTGTTCTGAAATAGAGTAGGATAATAGGCCCTAGAACATTTGCAAAATGATGAATATAGAGAAAAAGATGTGCATTATGAAGTATTAAAAAACTGCGGATGCGAGTGCTCAGATGCAGAAAGTAAAATTAAACCACCAAAACGGTATGGGCTGAGGGCCTGCCAGTGAGGAGAAGGTGGCATTTCTTTAGTTTAGCTTTGTAGGAATATGAAGGGGCATGAGCTGCAGCTCTTCTGAGCTCTTCGTAAGCTGCTCATTGACTTCAGGGCAAGACTGCTCCATGCTGCCACTTTCATACTTGCCTTGTTCTGCATAACTGGCTGTATAGAAATAGTGATTTCTTGAACACAAATCATATTTTTTCTCAGGAAGTTGACCTCCAGAAGAGTATATGTAACAAATGAGTTCTAGAGTTATTGATGTTACTAATGCAAACGTTTTATTTTTGTGGTGAGAGTTTGTCATCTTTTTTGTCTTAAATGCCTCATTTAGAAAGCATAATCTTCTATTAATCATAAATTATTGTTACTGGAGGAAAGTTTTCTTCCAAATCACTTTAATGAAATTTCTTCATTTTCTAGTCTTTGGTATGATTGTGTTTTGTTTATTTTTTCACCACATTGAAACAGTGTAGCTCTTTTACTTAGGAAAGTCATGGAGCCTATCAGAGGAGCTGAGAAAGATGCCCTGGGGAGAAATGTGGAGGTACTTGTCAGGAATCTGGTTGTCATCCTGCACAGCTATGTAATCCTACTACCTTCGAGAACATAATCTTAACTTTTAAATAACAAGATAATTCTCTGGTATTTTATCAGAGACCAGCAAAATATTCTGCCCTACATATGGCTTAGCTACTTTGCTTCATCTCAGCAGTAAACTGTACAATTATTTATGAGGTTTGATTGCTGAAACCTGCTCTCATCCTTGTGAGACTTCTTTGTTGTTGTAATGCAGTCTAAGCTTGCATGTGGAATGGAAAACAAATGGAAAAGAATAAGTGGTATTGTAGTCATACTTTGGAAGGAGATGGAAGAGAAGTGAGTGTTCATCAGTTACAGATATTTTTTTAGTTTTGCAGCAGGACATCTGTGATTTCTTTGAAAATATGGGATTCTCAAAGGTTAAACAGCTATTATAGTCTGCGACATTTGAACAGCACTTGAAATAGTCAAGAGGTGACACATTTCACACATTTCAGTAGATAAGGAAATCACTTACCAGAATTGATGTTGTTTTACTGGATTATAACATATGAATTAAAATAAGTGTGCCTAAAACATACTCAACAGGTGAATAAAGGAAGAAAGCTCTATGTGCTTACAGCTCTTTTTCATTGCTTTAGTGATTAAATATTTAAACAATTCAACGTGACCAATTTGTGCAGTTTAATATATTATGAAGTATTTTACTTTTTCCTTAAGAAAACATTAGAAGATGCAAATTATCAACAGAATTTTAGATTTATTTCTAAGTGCCTAGAATAAAAATATGGAAAATGCATGTAGGGGACAGTTTATCCTATGAGTCCATATGGGAATCTGTGGCATTGATGGTAAAAACAGCTGTTTTGATATATCTTAGGCGAGCTTATTTTAGAGCCACTTGTGATTTTGCTGAATCAGTGGTAAAGTAAGGTAAAGTCTGTAGGAAGCGTGGAAGTTTCTTTTGTTAGACTGAGCTTTTGAGTCTTTGTTGGTTCTGAAATCAAAGCCACACTCTGAAAGTCACAGGAGAGCACTTGCTCTGGGCTTATCTGTTTTGAGTGTCAGTCAGTTCATTAAAACTGGGGGTAGCTGTGGGGCAGAGAAGAGAGAGGTGGTGAGATGTGCATTCTTGCAGAAAGAGGGGTGGCTTGTAGCTTGTGCTGCTTGGAGAGTTTTGTTGGAAGTGAGAGAGATTATAATATCAAACTTCCTTACTGCGATTTTTGATATCTTGTAGAATTTTTGTTTTTAGGCTTTCCCCTAAATGTTGTTCTTTACACTGAGGACCTTTGTGTCTGGTGATCAGAACGGAGATCAGGGTCAGAGGCCAGAGATCAGGAACAGAACAGTAGTTTTGTAAGAAGTGCTCCCTGCATTGCTTTGAAGGTGAAACTGAAACTGAGCTGAAGTCTCATGAGTTGGTGCCTAGCACATCATTTATATGGTTTCTCTTCTAGATGAAGATTAGGAACAGTTTAAATGTCAGTCCTAGCAATCTACAGGAAACTAATAATGTTCAGCAGTATTTTGTTCAGATAGTGTAAAGAAATCCTGACATTTTTGTAAGGAGGATCAGCCTGCCCTAAACAAACAACATGATTCCTCCTTGTAATACCACATATGGAAAAAGTAAATAAATGGAAGAGCTTCACAGAATCACAGAATCACAGAATTGTAGGGGTTGGAAGGGACCTCCAGAGATCATCGAGTCCAACCCCCCTGCCAAAGCAGGTTCCCTACAGCAGGTCGCACAGGTAGGCATCCAGGCAGGTCTTGAACATCTCCAGAGAAGGAGACTCCACAACCCTCCTGGGCAGCCTGTTCCAGTGCTCCGTCACCTCACTGTAAAGAAGTTCTTGCGCACGTTTGTGCGGAACTTCCTATGCTGCAGTTTCCAGCCGTAATGTGTTCCAGCTTAATCAACTTTCTTTTGAATTCTGTAAGCTACAGTGTGTCCAGCTTCAGTTTCTAATATCCTTCAGAGATTCATTGAGTTCATATTAAGGTAAAATTAATAGTAGTTTTGAAATATTTTTTCTTATGTAGTCTATATGAAATAAGAATAAATTATTAGCAATGGATAAGCTCTTCAGTTTTGAAATTCTATGAAGAATTTTACAACTGGATAGAAAAAATAATTTCAACAATTAAGATAAAATCAATTGCGTTCACCTTGTGTCTCATGCCTGTGTTATTTTTGCCCTTTTACGATGCTTATTTAGGATATAAAGAAGAAGAATTCAGCTGGCCTTCATATCTAAAGGCGTGTAAGGCTCAAGCTGCTCCTAAATCTCTATTTGAAAACCAGAATGCAGTAAGTATTCATTTGTTACTGGTAGTGGGGAAAGTAGTTAGTGTGCTTACATATGTGTTAGACTTGCTACACATTTTGGTGATGGCAGGCTTCACTTCAGTTCATCTCCGCAATTCTCATCTTGTAGTTTCTTTTATTAATCTGTTTAAACACCTGATATATTCAAGAATTGTATATTAAATGAATCCTAACAGTTTGTTGTTCCTACGTCTCACATCACAATGTTGTAGAACGAGCACTGTCTTTCAGAGAGAGTACACGAGACAGAGTTGAAACTGATATATTTAATTTTAGCATCATGTTCAATACTTCTTTTTTATTTTATAAACCGTGAGTCTCTCTCTGCTTGAGCATCTCTCATGTCAACTAATTAAGCTGGTGCCACTGTTGGAGCATCTATTTGGGAAACTTAGAAATGACATGAATATATTGATTGTGAACAGTGGGGAGATTTCTGGAATTACAGTATTTATCTTTAATTAAATGTCTTTCTCTATATAGACAGTGATTCCATCGGGATTTCGAGTAGGGATGAAGCTGGAAGCCGTAGACAAAAAGAACCCTACATTCGTTTGTGTTGCTACGGTAACAGACATGGTGGACAATCGTTTTCTAGTTCATTTTGACAACTGGGATGAGAGTTACGACTATTGGTATGTTGTTTTTGATATGTATCCTAGTGAGATGTATCAGAAACATGTTAGCTTTAAGCAGTACTTTCTAAAATATTTTCCAGACAGTACATACAGTTGCAATACCAACTTTTCCTAGATTTGTAATCGTGGCCACCACAGTGTCTCTCCATGGTAGGCAGGAAGACTCAAATTTCCCTTGTTGGGTTACACATGAAAAATGTTCAGAGATTGTAGTGACTGTTTGTATGTGCTGCTACATCTAAAGCTGTGGTCTGATTTCTCATTTCAATTACATATTGAGGTTAATATTTTATTGAAGAATGTGCAGCATCACAATGTGACTGGACTTAGAATTAGATTTATATATAGTTGTAATTAGAAAGTAAGACCGTATCTTTTCATGAGGCCCTTAGTCCAATTCAGCCTGAACTTTAGCTGTTTTCTGTAATGTATCAGGATGGTAGCAAAAGCTGGTTTTGTTCTTATGTATTATATGATTCTCTGAAAATTGGGACCCTAGTGTCCTTCCCTGTATTGTAGATGACCTGTCTAGGTTGTACAGTGGAGGTGCTTTGTGAAAAGTCAGTGCAAGCAGCAAAGACATATTATAAGCATGAAGATCCCCAAAGAAATTCAGATTTTGGCTGTTACAGCACAGGTTTTTATTTACAATTGAATATTCTTGTAGTAGATTGTTTAGAGCAAAGTAGTGTATCTTACATTTTTTTTCAGAGTGAATTAGTACAGAACAGGTAGGTCATTGTAAGGCTGCATCATGCTTCTGCAGTGGTAATTGAATTCTATAGCTGAGCCTGTAAAAATAAATGAAGAAAGCTTTCTCTTCTGTATTTGGTGACTGCTTGGGCACTGTGTCGTTAAGAATGATGTGAAGAGCTTCAAAACTTTGCGAGTAACTTGAAATAATAATTGTATGGGCTATCTGACAAATAAGCTGTAGGAGAATTAATTTCTGACAAATAACCTGTAGGAGAATTAATTTATTGAATCAGTAGTGAGCAGGCATTTCAGGGAAGAACTGAGTGACAAGATGATAGGCCATATTACTCAAAGATTAGTGATTAATTCCATGACAAAATAACACAAAGCCTACATTTCCTCTACAAAGTAGCTGGAGTCTGGAAAGGGATAAAATATATTCTGAATTCCTGCTATGTGCGTGCTCATAAATAACAGTTATGCCATTAATTAATAATGAAAACAGCATTTAGGTAAGGCTTTCATGGCAGATGAAGACAATGTAATATAACCTGCAGTTTGTTCAGAGGTGGCATAGGTGCCTCTCTAAAGCATTGCACTATGTATAGCAGACATACACTGAATTTCAAGCATAGTGATGTTGTCATGTCAACAGGCCTACCTTTCTGCACTGTTGTAATTGAGAACAGAAGTGAATAGAGGGGGAAGGAGAGAAAATAGAAAAGAATAGTGAATGAAAACAGTGATGGAATGTCTGGCCAAAAGAGAACATGAAAATGCACCCCATTTATCTTTTTAATTTTGGTACCAGACTTAGAGGGGCCTTAAAAAATCTTGAGTGCATAAACTTCTCATCTATCAGTGTCTTAACAAAAAATGAAAAGTTCTGTTGGGATTACCCAGAGTAAAGGTCTTGCAATTTCCCTACTCCTGTATGTAAGTTTAAATCTCAAAGTTACAATGGTTGCAGTAAGGAAAAATGGTTTATGTTGTATATGTAGTTCAGGATTTTCAAACAACTTTTTTTGGGGGGTTATAGTCAAACAAGCTTCATCTTTCATTTAGATTAGGCCAGTTGAACTTTTTCACAAATTATAAAGTCTTTTCTCTTCTTGAATGAATGAGAAACTAGTTGACTAATTTTACTGAACTTCGTGAAATAAGTATGAAACAACAACCATGGCCTAAGCATTTTAGGCTTCAAGCTTTCAACCTGAAGATGCTTTTCCTAACTTTTCTGGAGTGTTAGGAAATACATGAATGGATTCAAAAAGCTACCCTAGCAAGAACTAGTCATTGCTAATAGTCTTTAATGCATAATGGTGATATTTTCAGTGTATTATAAATTCCATTAAATAGCCCTCTGGCAGTGTCTTTTAGAGGGGTGAAAAATAAACAAAATGGGCATTCATGATGGAGAATTGTGTTCTCTGTTCCACAAGCCTTCCAGTCCTTTCCATCTATCCTGTAGTTTTTGCTGAAACAAATGATACTTCTTTGAGAGCCAAAGATGTTCCGTTGGAATGGAATTTCCAATTGCTTTTAAGCTTGGAATAAATCTGGAATTGGTCTTTTGGTATCTCCATGAATTAACAGTAGATCCAATCTGGCTTTCAATTCTCCAGTCTCTTATATCTGCTCTGTTTACACACAGATTTCCAGAGCCTGAGCTTCCTAATTATTTTTCTAGCAAAAACTGAAGCAGTCAGAGCTTTATCAGTAGTAGTGCTAGATTGTTGCTGCTTGCCCTCAGGAGAGATTGTGTGGTGGTAGTGCTGAGTGCACCACAGCCCAGCCTCACCAGCCTCTGGCTGCCTAATCCACTTGGTCTGAGTATCCCCTGCAGAAAAGGTGCTACATCAAATTTTGGGATCAGCTTGCCAAGAGTGTGGGAAAATATGCTTCATTCACTGTTCTGCTCCTGTCCACCGTGCATAGAAAAGTAATTTCTAATGCCCCTTGTGAAGGTAAATCAGTTTTGATTATCTGAATTTTTGCCTCATCTGTGTGATACACAGGTAAGACTGGACACAGATATGGTCTGGATTTTTGTGTGATACAAAATAAGTGGCCAGTTCAACTCTCCACCAGCACCTGCTACTTTGCTAATAGCAAAGTCTTTAAAAATTATGGTCCAGTTGTTTCTTTTTTTGAGATAATAAATTTTGCTGCACCCTTTCTTTGAAAGGAATGCTCTTTTTGAAGTAATTATAATATGCCAAAAGGAGGATAAAACAATCTTAAAGAACTGAGGGTCACAGTGCATGCTTTTAACTACCTGAATGGATAATAGACTAATGCATGAATCTAAAGCTGTAAAATGTTCTGCAAATAACCATGTGTCTGTCTTATCATCAGGTAATCAGTACAAAATATGGCAATGTGACTTGCTGTGCCACCTCTGGATGCATATCTTATGAGTCACGTTTTGGGAGGTCATAACCTAAAATAATACCTTCTTGTCAACGATGAAGTATTCTCACTTATTCACTAGATGGGGCTGCAGGATGATTTCTATGTTTTTCTTTCTTTCATTTTTTCTTTTCCTTTTCCTTTTCTTTTTTCCTGGCTTCTTTTTCTTTTTGCTTTTCTTTTTTCTTTTTCTTTTTTTTTTTTTTTTTTCATAGTTAAATGCACTGACATGTCACAGTCAAGAAGTTGTATTAACAGCATTCCTGAGGGGTTAATATTATTTCTGAATATAATGCATGTATGTATGAGTGTTTTGGCGTAGCTAATGTTTTCATTGCAAGTTGTATCTAAATTTAATAATGTGAAATTCAAAATACCAGAAGGTTTGTTTCCCCAAAAGTGAAAAACAAAAATTGCCTCAAAACAGAAAATGAATATAATATTTACAACTTATTTTAAAGAATAAAAGCTAATGAGTAAATAAAAAATCTTCAAATCTTTAGGTGCAGACTCATTTTGGGAGTGTTTTTCTAAGTATTGAATTTTTTTTTTTTCTAACAACCAGTGTTATCATCTGTCTGTCTTGATCTGAATTGTATGAACTGTTTATATGAAATGGATCTTGGGGAAAAATTAACAAGACAGCTGATTTTAGCAATAGAAAAGAACTAATGCTGCTTCCATAGCCATGCCTGCCGTTCAGACGTCCTCTCCTGCTGTGAGCTAGCAGTCGTTTAGCTGCAGGCATGTTCCTTTCCCGTAGAGCGCTGCACTTGCCAGGGCTCACATTCCCAGCTGCCCTCAACTTTTTTTGTTGTGGGAAGCTGTGAACAGTGAAACTTCTTTCTGACCTTTTACATCCCGTAGCTCTTTTTTGCACTGACATCCTTTGCAGGATGTTATTAAGCTGTTCATAAGTTAGCAGAGCTGCTGGCTGTTCTGTCCCTCCATGTGGTTCAGCTGGCTCTCTGCTGCTTTTTGCTCCACTTTGACTGCCTGGATTAGCTTCAGTTTCCAGTACAAACAATAGTTGTCCTTTCCTGTCTGAATGCTCTCTGAAGACTGAAAGAATGGATTGTGAGTGATATTAAATTGTGTGAACATTACAACTTTTCTCTGTGAATGGAGCCTGCCTGTTAGAAAACGGTAGTGTTCTGTTGCAATCCAGACATTCGTAAGTGTAGAGGTACGAAGTTCTGCAGTTCCTGCTCATAGTGGCAGACTTTTGGGCCTAGTGAGCATCTTTGCAATTCATGGATCATTGTGATTTATGAGGCGTGTGAGCTGGGTGTTCTGCGATCTGTTTGGGAATGAATGAGATAAAAAGCTGTGGGATGCTGCAAATTGATTGTGAAAAGTCAGCATAGCCTTTGGCATTCCAGCTGATGCATCTTGGTCTTCGGCTGATAGGCTGTAACTGTTCTTCCAAACTGGGTATATATGTGCATGAAATAACACATTGAGGCGTAATAGTTTTGACTTAAGTTGTGTGTTATTATTACTGAGCTCCAGTTTTTATTGTTAAATGGACTGTTAGAAGCTGAAAGGCTGTGTAAAATCACTGTGTGAAGATGGACTGTTTGACCTGATTTTGCTGGAACAGTGCTGTTGTTTTTTTCATGAGGCTGTTGTGATTACAGAAGCCTCTTACAGGCTTGTTTGAAATGACCAGGCTTTCTTGTAAAGCAAACCAAAATGTTGCAAATGTTTTACAGTGCTGTTTTACAGTGCTGTTCTGTCAAGCATTCATTGCTACGCATTCCACATTCACTCTCATTGCTGCAGTGTCAGAGCATCTTCCAGTAGTGCGTCATCCATTGTGACAGACTTTTTTCAAAGTGAGAAATGTGTGAAGTGGCATTTACTATTCAGAATTTTATACACGTTCAAACTGTGTGCATGCAAAAGCAAAGCAGAAGTAATGCTTTCGGGAAATCTGTCCTGACAAGAGTTTTTACACATTCAACCCATCACTGTAAGCAAATATTGATCATACTGTAGTGGCTCATGAGCATGGGTCTTGATCCCAAATTTAACTCAGGTGAATTTTGAAAGCAATTTCTGGACTTCACTAGAAAATATTTCACACTAAGAGTGTGTCCTTTCTGTGTGAAAGTCTGTGTAAAGACTTCTATGTAATACCCTTCTTTTGAGAAGGATAGAAGAGAGGAATGCTGCCCCCCATACTTCTAGCCTCTCTTCACAGTTACTGTAAAGAGACAGGAAGAAGAAAGAGAGTGAGGCATTCACCTTTTCCCTAATTTCTTTGGGACAAAGCGTTTCTAGGAGTTGGAGTACTGAGTTTCATCAATACAAAATTATTATTAAAGTCATATTCATTCCTTTTGTTAATAGTGATTTTGGTTATTTAGAAAGTACTTGATGTGATACTATAAATACTTATGGATGTACAGTATAGCTTTATATATTGCATAGGACAAAAGATTGGTGTTCTTGATGTGAGCTGAAGTCTTGCCTATTGTCAGAGCCATTTCAGAATCTACTGAAAGCAGATTTTATCCACTAGAAAGGGATTTATTTCGCATTATCACCAAGAAATAAGAGCGCAACTCTTTTAAACATAAACCCACAAGATAACTATAGTAGGTTGGCTAATATTTTTCAGCATTGGTATATTCCTTTTAGGTACCAGGCTAGAAGAGTGCTTATTGTGAAAAAATGGTTTTGAGACATTCATCTTGTATTTCAGTTGTTGAAATACATCAATGCTGTATTTTAGACATCGTTGAGTGAAATTACTTTTTAGATTAAAAAAGTGTTTCGTGTCTCCTAAATACACCATGTTCCTTCTTTTTTGTTGTATGCAGCAATGTGATAGTAACTCAGGGCTCATTTTGCAGTCTTTTCTATTCTGTGTCTCCTGCAATCCTTAAAACATGCTTGTGTTCATGGTCTGCAGAACTAGCATTTTGACCCATAAATGAGGATGTTAGAGTTCCTGCTAATTTACCTTCAGCTTTTTTCAGTTCTTTGCACTTTCTTAGATATTACAGATTATCTAGATGTGGCGTTTTTATGATATAAATTAGCACTGTGAACAAAGGGAGATAATAGGTATGGACTTTCAGCATGCTAATGCTTTCCAAGTAGATAATGGATAGTGCTTCTGTTGCAACAGTGGGGGAGAACAGACCCACTGTTCAGGTATTTTGTATTAGTAACTCCTGGTCTGGAAGGAAAAGGCAGGAGTAGAAGTCAATCTCCAGCCTATGGTATGAAACATTGACTTCAGAGAAGAATTAAATAGAAACTGAATCACAATGACTGATTCAGTATTTTATGCAAAGACTGTTGTGTACAAATTAGATGCCTTCATGCATGGATGCTCTATGCATAGTTTCTTTCAGTAAATATTTGCAGAGTGTTTGGGAAGAAGCATCCCTTCAGCTAGGGGGGAGAGATGATGTTCCTACCTAGTCTGCTTAGGCTTGATTTCTTGATCCTGCTTTTGAGAAATGAGAAACGATGAAGGCTTTAACTGTTTTAACTTTCACAGACAAGCATACAAGGTGGTCATCTTGAATACTTGAATACTGTCTGCTTCATAAAAAAAACACCGCTGATTATTCATCAAACTGAAAAAAAAAACAATCTCTGACTATTGCTGCAGACATAGAGATGGTGAATGTTTCATAGCTTTTTATTTTTCATGGCTTTTTATTTTTCCTGTAGATCAGTAATATTAAGAAATAATATGTGCTATATATTACATAGGATATGCGTTATATTATAGATGCACTATACACATGTTGTATATAATGTATGTAACAAGTACACAAATAATATTTTTATAGATTATTAATAATGAATATTAAAATGATTTTTCTCTCATCTGCTGATTACATTTTTACAGTCCATTTGTTATTGTTGTTTTCCACTGCTTACAGAACTTAGTAGCCAACTTGGTAGCTTTCTTCTAAGCATTATTTGACCAAACAAATGAGTAGAATGAGAGTGATCTTTCTTTCAGAAGATGCCAGCGCGTCAATTCAGCTCACCCTGCCTGTTAGACTTCTGTGGTTCTTGTGGTACACCATAGGCAATAGCACTTCTGCAAAATTTGGTTCACATAATAGAAAATATAGGAAGTTGTTAGTCCCCTGAATGAGAGTTTGAGCAGCCTTCTTAGGGCAATTTTCAGTCATGGTTCAGTGATGAGTCTTGCATTCTTTCAGGCAAGTTGGGGTCTAAAATCCTGGGTTTTTTTGTTGTTTTTTTTTTTTCTGACAATTTTGTGCAGACTTGTTCTTGTATTCTGCTGGGCTATAATAACATGTTCATAGCTCCACTCAAACCCCTTAGAAGCTAGTATTTTTGCTTGTTGTTGACAGTCTGTTGGAGTTCTGCATGATTTTCTAATCTGCATCCGGGTGCTCTCAGATCTGTAATCAAGGTCTTTTAACTTTTGGTGTAAGGTTTGAGTCTTGATATTGAAAAACCTCCTGTCTGATGGGATAATGTATTCTTGCAACCAAGCAACGTGCTTCTTCCAAGAATCTCTACATCTGAATTTTTCAGGTCCACCATTATAGCTTGTCAGTAAAGGTCTACTGACTTAGACCTGATTTATTGATCTCTTGGTTAAATTTTAATAAAGTCCTATGTTTGTATAGGTGGTAGCAAAGGCTGTGTTAAACGTATTCCTATCTTCAGGTTATATTTGCAGTTTTAAGTATAAGTTGTGTGTATCACAGGCTATTTAGAATTTGTTAAATCTTTTTAGTATATATTATTTTCTGAGTATAATAAGATGTCTGAAGAACTGCATTATTTTTTTCTCCTCTCAGGTGTGAGGCAGCTAGCCCACATATTCATCCTGTTGGGTGGTGTAAAGAACATAAAAGAACTCTTATCACCCCACCAGGTTTGTATCATGCTACATATCTGAAAGATGTAAGTAATAGCCAGCTGCATAATTACATCTTACAGTGAGCCTTATTGTTACCTCTTCTGATTTTTTTTCTCTGTAATTAAGAATTGCTATTACTGATTTTTATTTTTTATTGGACATAATTTATTGTGAGTAGAGTTACAATAGACATTAGCTAAGTATATACATATATACTACTTCAATAAAGACATTCATTTATTGTAAGGCTTACCTTGTGAAAGTGCTGATAATATAAATTCTAGATGCATGAGATTTTCCGCATAAGAAAAATAATCTTCATGTGAACTAAATTGTTTGGATATCAGGAGCGATGAGACACAGGAACGGGCTGCTCTGAGAAGTGGTGGAGTCACCATCTGTGGAGATGTTTGAGAAACATAGATGTGGTACTGAGGGACGTGGTTTAGTGGGCATGGTGGGGATGGGTTGGTGGTTGGACTAGATGAGCATAGAGGTCTTTTCCCACCTTAATGATTCTATGAGTCTATGATTCTAAATATACATGTTAATGTGGGGATAAGAAAATTGCTTTATGCAATCAAGGGGTCAAACTTGTGAAGGTTCTTTGGGACTCAAGAAGTGAGAGTCAACCATTATGCATGGAAAAGTGCTAATTACTAGTAAGTACAAGAAAACCTCTATTTTTCAGTGTTGATGTGTGTATCTGGATTAGCCCTCCATGTCAACAGAAAAAGAAGATGCTTGTATGGGAAGTAGTACAGACCACAGCTTTATAAAAGACTATGCTATCTAACTTATATCTCTTAATATCTCTTATGCCTTTCATGCCTGTAAAGCTGTCAGACATAAATGATTTTAGAAACCAATATAAAGACTTGATAGCCTAGTACAAGAACCTGGCAGAGTGATAAAGCACCTGTGCCATTGTGACAGTGCTTAGGCTGGTTGTTTTACTATTGCTTTAATAATTGAAGATATTAAAAAAATAGAATCACAGAATGGCTTGGGTTGAAAGCGACCTCAAAGATTATCTAGTTCCAACTCCCCTGCCATGGGCAGAGTTGCCAACCTTTAGATCAGACTTCCCAGGAGCTCATCAAGTCTGACCTTCAATGCCTCTAAGGATGGGACATCCAAAACTTCTCTGGGCAAACTGTTCCAGTGCCTTAACACCCTCTGAATGAAGAATTTTGTCCTAACCTCTAACCTAAACCAAATCAGAACATTTGTATGCTAGGGCTTATACAGTTTTGTCCCAAAATGCTTAATATGATTTAAGTAAGGTTTGAGAAGATGTACGCCTGATAACAAAAATTTGGCATGCTTTGTTTTTTCTTCCTGTATTAATTTTTAGATAGATCAGTTTTATGACTGAATCACCCCAGGATCACTCAAATACAACTTCTGTTACAGTAAGCAGGAAGGAGTGATTGGGAAATACAACAGTTTCTCTTAGAAACAGCGGCTTATGCTGGCTACTTTTTAAATAGCTATTTTATTTGTGCTTATTTGTTAGTTTCATAGTGAATTGGAGTAGATTAGTTTTATAAGCACAACTTGAGTTTGGAAGATAGGCACCCATGCAAGAAAAAAAGAGAAAATATTGAAAGAGTAGGGGGATGCTTGTAGCAGTACTAAGGCAAAAGACCTAAAAGGGAAAAAACAATAAAACTAGTGTTTGAAATGGATTAAAGAAAGCATCATTGACTTTGATGAAATATATGTGGGTCTGAAGTTCACATGTAAGGCCCTCATCAGTATTTTCATGCTGATAGCTGTGAAGAATTTCAAAGAAAATAATAATCCATTTTTCAACTCTAAGAAGCAGTTTTATCCCATAAAATGCAAGTTGGTCAACTCTATAGTTGTACCAAGTTGTTCAACAGCTTGCTGATAAAGCTGAAATCTTAGAAGGGGACTGTTCATTCTGGGTCTGTAGTGGAATCTGAAGTGTAGAACAAAGCAGTATTATAAAGCTAAGTTAGGCATTCTGTAAATTATGCATAATTTTTTACACTGCAATGTTTAATTTTGCTAATATTTCTTTTGTGCCAGACTACCCACATGCTAAGCATTTTTCTTGGGAGAAGTATTTGGAAGAAACCAGCTCATTACCTGCACCTGCAAGGGCTTTTAAAGTGGTGAGAAAATGCTTACAATTTTATCATGCTTTTAAGTGCATATGATTAATTAAATAAGAGAATATATATATGGTGTTCTTATATTTCCCAGAGCATCCAATTACTTTGTTGCTTTATAGGAGGCTTACTTTTGTGCAAGTTCATAGTTCGCTATTAGAAATCCTGTAATTATTAATAATAATATGCTATTACTTTATTATTTTAATTGTTTCAAATGCAATTAAATACAACAAAATATTAGTAATTCATGTAATTTGCTATGAGAAATTACTGCTTCGCTATTAGAAATAAGATAGCCACTGAATCATCATGTCATTACTTGAACTTCTGTATTTCTATCCCTACATTTTAAATGGTGCAGGAAATACAGTGAGAATGTAAGAATGATTATAGGAGGCCAGGCTAGTTGCCTGTCTAGTCCATTCTCTTGCAGTAGCCAAGGGACAGTTTGTATTTAATATGTTTAGTAAACCTTTTCATCTGTAAACCTGTGAATAGGGCATTTGGACAGAATCCAGTGATAGCTCCCAAGTTTTTGAGAAGACTGTACTTTTATTTTGGTTTTGAACATACTACTTTCTTTCAGTGACATCTATCTTCCCTGTCAGCAGTGGCCTGATAGCATTTTCAGTGAGAATACAGAAGACCTCACTGGTAGTAGCTAACATCAGATAGTCCATAGACCCTAACCCCTTGCTTCAGAGCTCTCAAATTGGATTGTTTGAGATTTTCAGATGACGGTTACTAATTCTATATTCTGAACGCTTTGCTAAGAAGTGAATTACCAAAAGCTGAAATGTCCTTTCCAACCCAAGTTGTTTGAGTCTTAGAAAATTGGTTTGAATTTTCTTTTTATATTTGTATTTGTCGGAGGAGAAGGGCAGATTTGAGAAAAGAAGGAAGGAAGTTTTTGATGGATTTTAGACATTATAAGATTGGGTTTGAGTTTTTCTTCTGTTTCACATAGGTTTTTTCTTTCCTAGAAACCTTCTCATGGCTTCCAGAAAAACATGAAACTTGAAGTGGTTGACAAGAGAAATCCAGTATTTATCAGAGTAGCAACTATTGTAGATACTGATGACTACAGAATAAAAGTAAGTTTCTCTGTCTTATTGTACCACCTCACCTCAGTTCCCAATTAGTACTTGTAAACCCAAAATCTTACAGTTGTAAAATTAAGCAAGAATTCAGCTGGGTCCAGCTAAGCTTTTACTTGTCCTTTTTCACTTATTAATATGCACATAATTCCTTTGGATGGGGTTGTTCTCTTGTCCTCTTAGTTACATTTGCTGACATAGGTAATTAGTAGAACTGAATATGAAAATTGCTTAGGAAACCGTTGATACAAAACATTTGACCATTTTATTGAAAGAAGTGAAGATTTAGTAGTTAGGACCCTATAAAATATTTGGGCTGGTTTAACTGAATCTGTCCTTGTAAAAGTCCAACAAAGGAGAGAGATACAAGGGAGAAATGAAAAAAGAACCCTGATCTCTTGTGTTTTATCAGAAACTTCTGGAATTCTGAAGTTTGTGATAATTGACCATGTGTAATATAATAATATATATTGGATTTAGACTGGAATAATTTCAGATTTTTATTTTTTTTTTAACTGTAATTTTCCAGAACTTTTGTGATTGAATCGTTTTTGCTTTGTTTTACAAAAGCAGCTTCCTCTCTGGAGCATTTGACTGTGAAGACTGGCATATGCCAGATATTCAGTTAGGTGGATATGAAAGATATTTGTGTAATGCATTTCATAGAGATTTATTCAGCATACCTGTACTTCAAGCAGTAAATGCAGCTGACATTTCCTTTTGAATCTGAATTAGTCAGGTAGGGAATCAGCAGATTTCATTTTCCAATTAAAGATTAAGTTACATGAAAAAGAAGGAGGGGGGAAGAATCCTCTCAAGTCTAACTTATTAATATGGTGGATTTGTAGCTTCTTGAATGGCAGTTTAATTGACTCCAGAGCATAGGTTGAAAAGGGCTCCATTCGAACATATGTGTGTACATGAATCCACATGTGTACATGAGAGATCTGAGCCATTTACAACTACAGAGGTTAAGTAATATTCATCTTTTGTTTGAAAAAAAAATGTTGTACAAATTGGTGTTTTTTTGGGATGTCACATAAGTTGATTTCTCTTCTGCTTCAACTTTTTATCCTGTATGACCTGATTTTAATAAATTATTACTTGTTGTTTTGTTTTTGTCCTTTTTTTGTCTTTTTTTTTTTTTAATGGATAAATGCCTTTTTTTTTTTTTTTTTTTTTTTTTGCTTACCACTCTGCTTAAATTGTTTAATTCCTTGCTTAGGTATTAAAGTGAGAAGTAAGCATGTTCTGCTGTAGGGATTTGAGCTGTTTTGTAAAACACAGTAAATGACCAAATGACACCTCTCTTCTTCATTCAAAGTGTGTTTGGGTCGAAAATCTAATATATATGTATTTTCAGTGCAACATCCATAGTTTTCTTAAAATGACTTCTCTAATGGAGATAGCATTTCTAGAGATTGCTCAGGGAAACTGTTTTAATAGGGAATCTTGTAATCTAAAATATATTTTTCTCTTTTGTAAATGTAGGTCCATTTTGATGGCTGGGATAGTATTTATGATTATTGGACAGATGTAGATAGTCCTGATATCCATCCTGCAGGCTGGTGTACAAAAACTGGACACCCTCTTCAGCCTCCACTGAGTGAGTGAAATTGCATTATAATGTGGTGATATTAAAGGCCTGTGTACTAGCTGATGTTTCCTCTGCCAGTGTTGTCCAAAGAAAGGTAGCAACTAGGATATGCAAAATAATGTAAATATGACATTTAGTGCAAAATCAACATAATTTAAAATGTCACTAATTAATCACTTTTTCTTAGATAGCTTTAATGACCCTTACTGTAACAAAATACATTTATCTGTGTGCATAAGAATTAAGAGTCAAAACCTGAAGTATTAGCAAGGATTTGTTGCGTGAGATCCAGGCCCTCTTGAAGCCAATGATAAAACTGCTGTGGTACTTCTACAGGGCCAGGATATTATTCTTAAGATCTTATGCCTATATCTTCTTAAAAGTTATTGTGCTTTTCAGCATAGAGTCTAGACTGCCCTGAGAGGGTGCTCTTTTCAAATGCTGCCAAATCCTCAAAATCAGCTAACTTCTTTTTTGTCTTCAGCTGCACAAAGTAGTCTTAATGCTGCCCATATTAGAGATAAATCAAACAGAAGCATATTACCAGTAATAAAACTGTCTTTATTAGCTTGCCTATCTGAGAATTTGTTTAGTTTGTTGAAGAAGTGGGAAATCTGTCATAAATGAGACTAGAGGTTACAGGGAGATGAGATTTTGATGGCAAAGATATCCCTGCCATGCTGCTGTGTTTTTAGGTACATTGAAGTCACTTTATCCAAACTTTGAGCAGATGATTTTTAACTGAGTGCACTTTTCTAGACTTGCATTGTAAATACTTGACTTGTAACTCTCAGCTTTGCACAAGTGTTGAGTGTTCCACAGCTATAACTGAGATCAGAAAAAGCTGTGCTTGGAAAATAAAAAATGCTGAACTCTGAGAAGTTATATACAAAATAACAGGGATAAGGCACACTCAGAAAGTGTTAATTCATTACCTGAAAATCTCTGTGCTTCAGTTCAGCATTTCTGAAATGTCAAGAAAAGTGTTTCCTATCAAGACTGTGATAAGAATATATTCATTAGTTTTCTCTGCATTCCAGTGGTGCAGTGATGACTGCCTGTTAGGAAGTTAATTGTTCTGCCTCCAAAGCAGAATCTGAATAGAATGCCATAAGTAGCAAAGCACAAAGTGAATAATGAGAGTAAAATAAGATGCTGCATATCTGCTTCTTAAATTGAGACGTGCATCCTGTGTTCTGAATGAAGGATGAATCCAGTGGGAAAAAGTATTTAGCTACATAAATAGAAAATATATCATACAGAAAAAAAAAAATGAATAAGGTTGTGACATTTCTTTTACCAGTGATTGAAAAAATATTTTAACCTAGCTGGGAGTGCAAAATATATAACTTCATTTTGGTGGAGGTGTTTAAAGAAATAAAACTGCAGATGACCTTTACATACAGGACATCATCTCTATTTGTTCATGTAGGAACCACTGTTCATTTTTTCTAGTGTGTGATGGGAAGTAAAGATATTTTTATGTAAGTTTAGATAGAAGAAGGAAAACGGACCATATGACAGAAGGAAAAGTAACTGTTCTTTAAATTGAAAAATATTAATTCTCTGTACAAATACGATTAAAGTAGTGTGATTACTGAATAGTACAATAAGACATTCCTGTCTAATGGTATGGTCCACATATCTGTCTTTAATAGCAGGAGCTTTGTGTGAGTGCTGTGCTATGCTACCAATATTGGCCTATAGCAGTCATCATAACAGCTTTATGAGAGTCAGAGTGTTTTATCTTAAGGTATAGTGAAGTCACCATGATGGATTATGATCTTTCTGGTACTAGTTAGGGAATTAGGAACCACATGTTGGTATTGATTTTAATATCACTTCGCAGTGACGCAGCAGCTTTCTTATACAGACACAGCTTTTTAAAATGGCATTGTTAGAGTTTCAATTTATTAAGTGAAATGAAAGCATTTGTTAGGAAGCTAGTTTGTGCAAAAACATAGCATCAGTGTACTGGTTTGTTTTGCTTCTAGCATATACTTCCAATTACATTTTATTTTATTTTTGAGCTTAACTGACTCTTTACTGGAAAATTCAATTCTTTTTTTACTTATTTGAGGGGAAAATGAACTGCTTATTCAAGGGTTTACACAAGTGTAGATATTCCTCAGAACAGAGAAGAAAATATTTTATATTTAGATATTTTTATTTATTTCAGTAAGTTTTTCTGTAGTTTTAGACGTATGTTCTTTTCCTAGGTTGTGCATGTTACCAGTGGATAGAGGCAAATTAGGAAATGTTCATACCATGCTGATTCTCTTTTTAAAAAAAACAACAAACCAGAGCTTTTTGTTTTTTTGCTTTAACCTAAGTTTTATCTTTTCTGACTGAATTACTTATGAATTATAGGAAGAACTTTTTTATTGCCACTGAAGTTGTAGGAAGAAATATGGAAGAAATATTGAACTGTACGAGGAAGTATTTTGGTGGTCAAGTTACTGGATCAATTTTCTTGAGTATCTGGTGACAGGCTGGCTTGGTAGGCCTCATCCTAAAGAAGATCCTTGTAGAAGATGAGGTTCCCTGCAATATTCATGTGCAAACAGAAATGGATAAATTGCTTTTGAACATCAGTAGATCATAGAAGAATCATACAATTGCTCAGGTTGGAAAAGACCTTAAAGATCATCAATTCCAACCGCAACCAAACCATACTACCCTAACTCTAACACCCCACTGCTAAATCATGTTCTTGAGCACCACATCCAAACAGTTTTTAAACACATCCAGGGATGGTGACTCAACCACCTCCCTGGGGAGCAGCTTGGTTGTCTAAACCTACCCAGTTTTGCATAATTTTCTTGCTTATCTAATTTGTTTCCAATTTGAAGTGTCCTACCTTACTTAGTCATTCCTCATAAGAGCGCTATTTCATACCTGGGTTGAGAGTAGGTCGAAACAGACAAAAAGATTTCAGTTCTGTTGTACTAAGATAAAGTGACCAGAAGAGCAGGCAATATTTAAGAGATCAGTAGGCGGAGAAAGTAGAATAATGATGTCCTGTCTTGTTCTGTAGTTATTTTCATTGTAACTCCTTCTATTTTGTTTGCCTCCTGAACTGTTACTGGTCACTGAGTATGTGTTCTCATGGAAGAACCTGAGGCCAATGGTAGCTTGGCCTGCCTCAGATATGGTGTGGCCAGCAGGACTTGGGAAGTGATTGTCCACTTGCACTCTCACTGGTGAGACCACACTTCAAATACTGTGTTCTGTTTTTGGCCCCTCACTAAAGGAGATACGTTGAGTTGCTAGAATGTTTGCGAAGAGCAATTAAGCAAGTGAAGGGTCTAGAAAACAGGAGTTATGAGGAATGACTGAAGGAATTGGGATTGTTCAGTCTGAAAAAGATGAGCTCAAAAGCAGACCTCATAGCTCTCTGCAACTGCCTGAAGGAAGACCGCAGTGAGGAGGTTTTTCATCTCTTTTCTCAGATGACAGTTGATAATACTTCTAGTATTATTTTCAGCCTTGTTTTCTCCTTTTGTTTACTGGAAAATTTAAGCTAAAAACAGAGATCAGTACTCATTATTAACAGATTTCTTTCTTTAGGAACAACAGGGTAACTTATTTTGAATGTGCTCTTGCAAAACTACTTGTATCTACTTACAGTTATTTAATAGGAGACAGGTTAGAAGTCTTACAGTTCCTCTAGGATTTGCATTGTTTATATAGATGTAGCCCTTCAGTAGAGATTTACTCAGAGTAGTTTTATTTCTCCATTGGAAGAGATCATTTGAATCTCCGTCTTGCTTTTGCAAAATGTATTTTTTAAAGTACGTTAAAATTATGTATGTCGTATGTAATTTCTCTGACATACAGGTCCCTTGGAGTTAGTGGAAGCTTTGGAGCATGGAGGATGTCCCACAGCAGGATGTAAAGGTGTTGGGAATGTTAAAAGAGCAAGACATATTGGCCATCATAGGTATGTGCAGTGAAAAATATTTTTTTTCAATTTAGTAATGTCTGCATGCATTTTTTTTAATTGTTATTCACAAGAAAACGTATCCTGTCTGGAGAAAAAAAACTAAATTTTGTAAAATGAAATATGAAATTATTTCAGTTGCCATGGTGAGCATACTGAAATAAACATTAGCAATCTGTGACTTCATTTCACCAGATGAGATTTCTCAAACATCATTTTTGTCACTATTGATAGATTCTGCTAATCCAGATTTTCCTATGAAGATTCCATGGCTTGCTGTTTGATTTGCAAAAGGTTATAGACAAATTTTTATAAAGCAGTAACTTTTGATCCTTTTGAAACCAGGTCACTAATGTTTTTTATCACTTGAATGTTTTGTTTTGCTCAGCATGGGTAAAGATTTGCTTGTTGGCTTGAAAAAAATACCAAAATGAAAATTCTGATTCATACACTCCCAAATTACAGCCTGAGTGTTTATACTGAGTGTTTCTAAAGATCATTTTGTTGAGCACTTAAGTGCAATACAAAAATGTGAATCTCTCAGGCTCTCCTGTAAGAGAGCTGACCTAGAGAAAGCAGATTTGTGGGAGAATAGAATGATGCATGAACACACAGGGACATGGGGATACTCACTAAGCCAAAATTTGACAGTTTTTGAAATGTTTATAGTATGAGATTAATCTTGAATATTTCAGTAAAGAAAATACAATTACTGTAATATGTTGAGAATTGAATATCATAAATAGCATCAGATAGCCTTTTCACAAATCAGTTTCCAAAATTTTTCTTTGAATTCTTTCCATTGAACAATCAAAGGATCCGCTAACATTTGTCACTTTGTGCTTTCTGCTCTAATGTCACTAGAGGATTTCTCTTTGGTAATATGTTTATATTTTTCAAGAATATAATCAAATGCTCATGATCCAAGAGACAGTGCAAGAGATTGACATTTTTGGTGGCAGAATTATATCCTGTTGATGAGAATTAGGCTACAGAGTTTTGGTGGCATATCAGCACTGTTTCAGATTATTCTCAATTTTTTCCTTCTGTCTTTTTCTGTTAATGTTATTTTTTCTTCTTTTTTGTTTATTTGGTTTTTGTTTGTTTGTTTTATGCCTTTCCTTTTGAAAGACTTTGTTGATCTTAGTGTGGTGTCTGCTTAAATAATCTATCAGTACTTAAGAGGTGCTTGCTCTTTTTTTTTCTTGCTGTAAAATCTTTCTTTTTAACTGAAAATCGTTTCATATACTGATAGAGTGAATCTTGTTTAGTATGTCTGATTGTAAGGCAATAATGTCCAATTTAGGATATTTTCCTTAGCATATGCTATCTCATTACTTATAGTCAGATGAACATAACCACCATTCTCAGCCCAATGCTGAAACTTTAAAAATAAAAAAATAGGACGAAACTTACTTGAATGTGTCAGAAAAGTTCTTCATTTGTGATCTTCTCTCTAAATACATTTTGGCATTAAAACTTCTAATGTTTCACGGGGAAAGGATGAGTAAGAGAGGTATGTTTAGTTAGTTCATGTATTCTTTGCTTTTATAACTATATTTTCCATGCTATTTAAAGTTATTATACTTACTCATCCTGAATACTGAGAAATGGCAATCTATTGTGTTTTATTTTTATTACAGTCTTAGCAATCCTGTCATTTACATATGAACTGATAGTTCTAAGAGATAAAAATATAAACAAAGAAATTTTGTTGATTGTAAAATAAATTTGCTTTTTCATAGCAAATAAATTAGCATCATAAATATCTTATTAATTTGCTCTCTGTGTTGGTGTTTTTTGTGGTTTTTTTTTTTCTTGAGTGTTTATGAAGAAAATAATGAATTTCTTGTTTATCTGGGGTTTGCAAATTTGAGGGTCCAAGTCACCCCAAAAATTCTACAATTGTACTATTACTTTTCTTCTGAAATAACAAAGACATTTTGAAATTGTTGTAATTATCCACGTCAGGTTTAAGTCCCCTGGGTCACTTATCTTGGCAACCCTGAAATGTATTTAACCATGCTTATCTCTTTTTTTTTTTTGTCATGATGAGGTATGTCTGTCTACAGCATAAATTTCTGAGTGCAGAAGAGATTAAAATTTAAAATGCTAAACAGTTCTGAAATCACGAGAACTTCTTCCTTAGGAAGCCGATGAAAGCCTAGATGATTAATTATGTAATGGGACTGAAGCATTTATTTATTTTTTTTGAAAGCTGATGTTAATAAGGACTGTTTATCTATCACCAGTTGATCTAGTTTTGTTTTGCTGGGCACTTGAAACAGAGACTGGTGTGCATGTCAGTAGCATAATGCAGATTACTTGCATATTTATGATTAGGTTGTATATTGTATGCTTTCTAATGTTTAATCTATTCATTAAATCTGAGCTGTAATGCAAAACATTTGGTTGCAAGCAGGTTTTATATTAACTCTCCATGAGTAAAGATCAAGTTTGCTTCAGCTAACAGTTCTCAATTGCATGATTTTCAGGCAATTAGAATGAGAAGAAAAAAAATTAGTTTGTAGTTCATAATTAAAATTATGCACATCGCTGAAGAACGCAAGTTAAAATTTGTGGGGTATTATTTTCATACTGGTGACTGTAGTTTTTCTGTTAACTGGAAGTTTGCTCCTACTATCAAATAAAGATGACATGAAGTAAACAATATGCTGAACTGTTTAGGAAGCAATAGGAGCAAAACGTAAGCATGGAGAGCATTTTATTAGAAACATCATCTGTTTTGTGAAAGCGAACTGACTGTGTCGTGATGAAGACCACGTTCTCAGAAAAGTGTGGTGCAGAAGCACTGGAAGCCTCAGTTCTCGAGGATGTTCCATCTATTTGTTCAGTATCTGTTGAACTAAATCTCATCTGATACTTTTGTCTCCAGTTTCATTTTCTTTTACATTAAGGATGTTATCCCCAGACAAATAGGTTTTAAGCTACTGTTGACTCAATATATATATAATATACTGTTAAAGCAATTTTATGCTAAAACAGGATGCATTGATGATAAACACATTGCAAATTGTTGAGAGCATTTGTATCATTTGTTACTAGGATAGTTAAAAATATTTCCATAAAGTCAACTGAAGTAAAAACATCACTAACAAAAAATAATAATAATGAAAAAGCTTATAAAATATTTTTTTTCTTTGATTAAAAAAAAAAAGAAAATCTTAAGACAATACTCAGGAATAGTTTTGCTATTATTTCATAAAAATACTAGTGATACATAACTTGGATAGTGGTTCTACAGGTGGGAAGTAAGAACACAAGTGTCCTGTGCTGCTTTCTGTACTTCTTGGGCAGTCACCTGGTCACACTATACACACTTCTTCTCATTACTAATCAGTGCATTCTTTGTTTGCTTTTTTTTCATCATTCATCATTCCTGATTCTACAAGAAGAGAGGATTTTTTTTAATGTCAGGTTTTTGCTCAATTTATACAGTGCTCACAAAGTAGTAGTTCCCTTTCTGCAGTATACAGCAGATAGCTTAATTGCTGTGATGTGCTAATCCTCCAGAGTTGAAAGGTAGCTGATTACTTTCCTGTGGGGGGGCAGGGAGGATGTTAATTTGGGTATTTATTTACTGAAACGTGGGTTGAGCCTACTGAAGCAGCTTAGATGATAATAGATTATCTTCATGGTTTCAAAGATGTAAAGCAGCAATAGAAGATGTCTGGCATCATCAAACATACAGTAGGGATTTGAAATGAAGCTGCCACTTCTTGCCATGCTGTCTGTTCTTTTGGAAGACATCAGTATCCATAGGTCAAGGATATCTATCAAATTGTAAATGGGTTTTGAACTTCTGCTGTTTTCTAAACAGCGTGTTAAGGTATGAAGTGAAAGCTGCAGCAAAAATCCATGTTCAAACTGAGGGAAGAGTTAATCCTAATTTAATTTTTAAATAACCTGATGATCAAGACTTCTGAGCACTTGAGATGTTTCTAGAACTTAGTAATGTATACATCAAATACTTCTTTATGCGTGAATAATAAGATTAATTTTTTAGTCTTTGTAGTATACAAGCTCAACTGTACTGAAGGCTGGAGGCACTGAGATTCAGGACTGATTGATCTAAAGCCACCTAGTTCATACTGACTGTGCTCATTCATGCTGTGTTTTGTTGCAACAAAGCTGACAGAGGAAATCATGAGCATTTGTTTTGTTGCTCCAAGTAATAGAAACATCAAAGGACTGTCATGGATTTTTTTTAACATGATGTAGCAATTCAAATGATTAATTATGAAGAAAAACTCATCTGAATTTAATGCTGTAAAATTTCATTAATATTATAACTGTTGTTGACTGAGATTGTTCTTCAGCTTCTGTTTTTGAAGAAAATTCTAAAGGAAAAAAGCAAAACAAGCAAGTTCCAATGGAAAATTGAATTTCAAGACTCCTGCTACCTTTTAATTTAAAACATATTACTGATTTTGGCAATCAGAAGATCTACTAGAGATGAAATTGTACTGTCAGACTTCATTGTGATGTAAAGTCTATGTAATAATAAAAATATGTAGCTGAAGTTAAATAGCTATTTGTTTGTGTTTAGTGGTTCCTTGAGATACTCCTTAAAAATGCTTAAAACATCCCTGTGGGGGATGTTGGAAGTTGAAAGAACATTACATGCTTTATTTTATCAGAGTGGCAGAACTGAGATTGACCAGTATATTCCCAAGTTTCTGATGACTGTATATTATCACAGTGGTATGGGTTTGTCATAGTATATAAATCCCATTTGTATTGGCTCCATAAAACCATTTGCCAAATAAAAGCGTATATTTTTCAGCTTATACTTCATTTGAAAGTCAAAAAAGATGTAATTGTAATACATGCAGTAGTATAGAGAATTAAGAATACTGACCAACTTTTCCTAGTCCTCCTCTTTTCTACCTCATCCTTTAGTTCATTGTTTTTAATTTTTTTAAGGTGTCGGGCAGACACCAGCCCTCAGATAAAAATAAGCAAAAACCTAGAATGTAGGTTTTGTATTTTTTACATTTTTGCATTACAGAGGTTCTTATAATAATAGATAGGCAGGAAAGCATAATTTTATAGTTAGCATAGTAGCCCGCTAACCAAAAATAAAGCATGTTTATCTTAAAGATAATTGAAAGCTGGGCTTTTTGTTGTTCACTGTCATGACATATATATATACCTTTCAGAATTTGATATATTGTCTCTGAAGTATACCTCAGTGTATATTATGTATTAGGATGTTATACCTGCGAGTATGTTGACTGAAAACCAGTTGGACATTCTGTAGATAAAATCTTAGTTCAGTCTGGTGTGTTTTGCATTGCTGCTGTTTCATTACCTAGCTCTTGGGCAAGCACAGGTTTTATGACATTGAGAGATATCACAAAGATTTTCACATTTGTTCAAGTCATTATCAAAAGCACAGTGTCAAATTATCTCACAAACGGGAATGCAGTGAAACAGGGGATGCTGAATGATAGAAAAATATATGAAAAACACACTTCTAATGCAGTAAAAGTCTTATTTGCAAAGATGGGGCATTGTCTCTCAGCAGTGAGAGAAAGTAGCCATACCTCATACTGTGCCTTGCTATACAGTCTCTTTGTGGACACTACGTAAGAGGAATATGCTCTTTTGCATGGAAGAAATATGCTCTTTTGCATAGCCGTAGAAACGTGATTGTGTTATCTGGAGTAAGAAGGATATAGTCAGAAGTATCTTCTATATTATGTGTAAAATGCCATGAAAGCTTTGTGAGCAGGCTAAACGTTCATTAAGCAATTTTTGCAGAATGTATGCTGTAATATAAATTAATGTAATTTGTATTCCATAAGTTGCTGTAGAAATGAAATATGAAAAGTATTCAGGTTGCTGTTTTTAATCAGTATATTTATTAATATTTTAATGTCTGACTACTTGCATTTTTTCTAATCTTCTCTATGTAAATTGATTCCATCCGCTTCTAGAAAATTAGTCTCAAATGTCATTTCATTTGAACTAAGTTGAAGTCTGCAAAGTGAATGAAGTTAAGGAAGCATTTCTCTTTTTCACCTTCTAGTGCAGTCAGCTGCCCATACTCTGAGATGAACTTGAACAAAGAAAGCCTCCTACCCGATCGGCTCAGTGGGGAGTTGCCTGCAGCCAATCATGTCCCCAGAAACAGAAGAGTGGAAGCAAGGGAAAGATCCCCCTCTCCTATAATCAAGTAATTCTGATTGGACCCATGCCTATGACTAGCTGTGGTGCTTTATTTCAGTGTTGTGTAGCATGATTTGTAGTTGTGTAATATCTGGATAGTTTCCGGAAAACCTGTCTATTTATCTGCATTTTCATTTATAGGGAAGGAATGGTTTCATCAGTGCTCACTGAAAAGATCACTACTAATACTGATTCTACTATGTGTGATTTAATAACATTTCAGTTTCACATTCAGTTTAACTATGTAAGCTACTAGGTGGTTAGCTGGAATTTAAGATGGGTTGTTTGCCTGTTTAAGAAAGTGGTTTATTTGGGTTTCTTCTATTTGCTGGGGTGGCCTTACTGACATGGATGTAAATTAATGTTACTCTTTGAATAACCACTATAAATTCTGCCATTATTGTTGGAGTGGGAAATCGAATTACTGGGTGTGAGTTTTGCAAGAATGATGCATAACTCCATAGCTGAAGCTTCTTGAATGAGTTCTGTGAAAACACAAATGAATGTGATGCCAAGAGACTTTTCAGATGAGGATTTTCTAACAGAAATTGTGAACACAAACTCCTGTGCTCATTTTGCGTTAGGGAAATGCACAGAGAGTTTAAGAAGGAATGGAGAAGAGAGGCTTTCCATTCTTTTCAAGGGCTACATTAAAGTAAACATGAAAATGTGAATGTTTATCCTGAAGATTCCTTCCATTTTCCTTTGTTATGACCAAGTATTTTCAATGGTATTTCAAATGAGATTCTCGGAGTTGGTTTCAGCTACATGCATTAAAAACAACATATTCAGCTGTCACTGAGCACTGTTGGGTTCAACTGTTCTAGAACGTCTAAGATTGTAGAAATCTGAAGTAACCCTAATTACCTTGTGGCAGCTAGCCTGAATGTGGTCCCAGTGAAGCCACTGACAGTTTCACCCGTTTTCTCTATAACAGGGACAGCATTCAGCACTTCTGTTTTAACAGTCCCAGCTGACAGATTGCATAACATTTGTAGGGTCCTAAGTGCATAGCTGTGTATTGTAAGAGATGGGATAGGAGGAAAATATGATACTTTGAATTTTTCTTGTTACAAATATTTGAAATGGAGAGTTTATTATCAAAAATAACATTAGGCAAATTCAACAGTAATGCTGTTGAATTGTAAGCAAGTTTTACCTTTAATAAGAAACGCTTTGTAATTTAAAGTTTTGTGATTTTTTTGAAAGTCCTACGTCTACTATTCTGTTGATGCAAGTGAGAAACTTCTGTGTATTCTTCTAAAAACAAAAACCCCACAACCTTATTTTTTTCAATTACACTGATGATTCTTTATCCATAAAGAAAATAAAATGAACAGCTCAACTTCTTTCTTTTTAAAACATTTTGTTAACTTGTTCTAAACAGTGACAGAAAATGCCCGAGCCCAGGTCACATAGGCACAAAATCTGTATCTCATAATCGATCATCTGGGAAAACTCTATCAGAAACAACTAAGCAGGAAGACAGAAAAAGTGCATCTCCTTGCAAGAAGCCCCAGTTATGTGATGTGAAAGAAAAGAAGCCACCTGGGTAACTATCAGTTCCTTTCAAAGTATGCGATGTTTAGAGACTATTTAAAATGCAGCTTACTGTGAATGCAGTACAGAGGTTTATCTGTGGAACTCTTGGAAGCAGTGGGGAGAAAGAAGAAAGTTCTTCATATTGGAAGAGCATAATAGTCTTTGTAGAACCAGAAAGGAATGGCGTGTCACAATTTATTTAAGAAATAAGTAATACATATCAGAAAGGATAGGAAAAGTACTACAAGTCAGAGAAATTACTGAAAGTAATCTCTTAACTCTTATGCTTAGAGTCTTTTTTTGACAAAGAATGACATGAGATAGTATATTGGAAAATAATATTTATGATATTATATGTCATGATATATATATATAAATATAGAGAGAGAGGCTGTCTTTGATACTGAAAATCTAATACACTTCTGTGGGGAAATATGTGAGACAACAGCATTCCTTTTCTAAGGAATTATTTAGTTACAGCATCAGCACATTATTTTATTTTTCTTTCCTGAACTAGTATTCACACTTTCCTTGAAGACAAAAGGTCCTGCAATAATACAAGGTTAAACTTTTATTACTATTCTTTGCTGTCAATTTTTCTTTAGAACAATTCTTCACATTATTTCTACCATCTTTTGGAAAAGATCTATTAGGAGCATCGAACAGTGTTAATATAAGTTTATCACAAATAAATAGCTTTAGTTAGTCAAACTCCATTGAATCTGAACAGCAAGAAAAGACAGAATGACAGCAGTGTAGTTTGTGTTAGTTGTCGTTCGGCATTTCAATCATATTTATAGTAAATTCCTTTCTTTTTCTTCTGGAAATAACCATTGACTTTACTGAATATCTATAAATTAATTGAAGAACAATGTATATGGTCTTTTTTTATTTTTTACAGGGTGTTATATTTATGAAGCCATAAAATAGCAGACACGTGCTATCAGTTCTCTGATTTTCATTCAGAAAATAACAGCTTTGTGCCAAGTTTGAACTGCCCAGAGGCTTTTTGAGTTGTTTGAAGTGTTTGAATGCACTGATGACCCTCTGCATTTTATCATCTAGTTTTCCACATTCTTTATATCCAGCGTAGCCAGGGAGAACTTTAAGTTGACTAAGCTTACTTTTAAACAGGTATGAGAAATGGTATTCACAGCTTTAGGTATATTTGAACTACTAGAGTTATTAAATATTGAGCATCTGGTTATTGCAATACCCAGAGGATATTTTCAGATGTTTATTCAAAGTACATATGCATTATTGAAGACAGGTATGCCTACTTTCATGCTGTTCTGCACCTGAGCTCACTGTATGGATTTAATTATGTTTGTCTTCAGTACAATCATATATGTCTTTATGTTCCAGGTAATGTCATACTTTCATAGAAGTATTTGATTGAGGAACCAACCACATACACAACAAACCATGAGATTTGTTTTGCTGTAAACCAAGTCATATTCAGCTAATTTCTAGTTCCTCTTTCTTTCTCTCTTAGCTTTTAACAGATATAAATGTAAGCAATGGAATTAAAGTGGAATTAAATCATGCAGCCTAATGTAATGTGTGGCAACTCTGTCTATAGCAGGAGAGTTGGAATTGCATGATCATTAAGTCCCTTCCAATCCAAGCTATTCTGTCATTCTGTGATAAACAGATCTGTTTCTTCTGTGGTTTTGTGTTTTGAGGTTAACAAATCTTGATGGCTAACAGGATGTTAGCTCTAGTTTGGCTTTTTATCAGTGGAACACTGGTGAAGATGTTCTTGTTGGTTGATTCTCTGTTATTTAGTAAAGCGTGAGTTCATATGGGAGGGTTTCTTGTAGTCTTTAAAGACTTTTAGTCTGGTGGCTGTTTTAACAAAATGTTCCTTATGTACCTAGTATCTCTGAGAGCTCTGCATCTGTGATGATTTAGCAAGAATTGGCCAGTGTCCTCAAGTTACTGAAAGAAAGAAGGAATGCACACATATTGTCAGCATGTTCATATAGTCTTCATTTCTGTAAGAAGCCAGGCTGAAAATATCTCATGAGAGTATGAAAAAGAACTTCTCAATGGGTGGCTTTAAAATGAAAATATCCTTCCCCCCCCCCCCCAAAAAAAATCTCTTATTTTCACTTCTCTTCTCTTGCCCCATTTTTCTCAATAAATGTCCACTCTTTGCAAATGAGTTGGCAAAGCTGAGGGTTCAGCCAGAGTTATCAAGCAAAGAGTGATTCTATAAGAACCACTCAGTAAGAAGTAAAGCAAAAACTAAAAAGTAAAATATTTTCAGTGGGGTCATTAACAGCTGCACAGTGATATGTCAGTACAGTACAGGAGCTGGGACAGAAATGATGGTTGAGTTGAGAAAAATAAATAGATAATATTTAAGACAACTCATGAAAATGGCCTGGATAAACAGTAAGGCTTTATAGGAGATTCAACTGTATATATGTCTTTCAGTCTATCCATCTTCTGCCATGGACACATCTATTACTTTCATTTGCAATTACTTTCATAGCAATTTTTCAGTTTCAATTATAAAGAAAAATATATTGATCTGATTTATGTAATTTTAGTTTATACTACCCTTGAGTCTTAATTGCAAAATTCATGTCAGTAGGCATTAGTGTTGCCATCTGTGTAAGTCAGAAATTAGATCCTCTTTTTTAATTTTATGATGATACAATATCCTTTGTGTGAAAATCTTGCAGTGTTAGTAATGATCTAACATTGTTAGCAAGCAGTATCATCATGCTTAGTGATTTTTATGATGTATTAATAAAAATGTACGTCTTATTTTTGTCAGAGGACTGCAGACAAAGGACTCTGTAAAGAACAAAGAGTGTGAAGAAAAAGAGACAGGAAATAACCTGCTCATTTCAAATGAAATTAAAGGTAACTTGTCAATGCTTCTTTCGTTTGATATTAAAATCTGCAGAACTAAAGAAGTGTGACATTTCTTGTAATTCTTCATGCAACTGCATTGCAGCTTACTTTTTACATTTGCTATTTGTATCCAGTTGGTTATTTTTTTGATAGTAGCGCTTCCAGTGTTGTGTTTACCTTATAATCATCAGAGTGTTTCTTAGGAACTTTATTGCAGTTGTAAAGATGAGTGCAAACTGAATACTGACATAAAATGTTTCCTTTCACTGACTTTTACAAATAGATAATTAAGTGAGTCTGAATGGTTCATTTATTGCTTCAAAAATGTACTGGGAAGAAGTTGAAGATGCAGAGTTATACTTTACAGTTATAACTTAGTGTTTAGGTGACCTATTAAGTTCCATCTCAGTCTGTTGTGCAGTTTACTTTCTAGCAACTTGTGCAGAATGGGTGTTTTTCATGTAAGTTAAAGAGGGAAGGCTAAGATCTTTACTTTGTTAAAAAACTGGAGACTGTCCAGTTGAGGACCACCAAGACATTAGGTGGTGGTGCATGGTGGTAGAGTAAGAGGCATGCTCCTAAGTTGCTTCAGAAGAAATTCTGTCTGGGTATAAGGAAGAATTCTCACTCTGAGAAAAACTGAAATAGGCTGCCCAGAAAAAAACTTAGTTTGTCAGGATCCTTAATAGCCTAGTCTAATGGTTTGTTCTCAACTGAACATCATAAGGTTTCTAGAGATCCCTACCAAGATGGATGTGGTTTTTGTTATCCTATTTTCTAGTTACATATACTGCTTTATAGAGCATTTTGATTTTGTCAGAAAGGACTATTTGAGTAAAATTTCACCAACAAGCTTTGCTTACTAGTTAGGATGCTTTTCTGTGTAGGGTCCTGCATTTGATTTGTAAAAGCTGGAACACTTCCTTTAATTACTGTTTAACAAAGTGATTCTTTGTCTCCTTCCTATATACATGTTTAATGCCTGTATCAAGCTATAACCAAGGAGCAGTAGGTGGGGAGTTTTATTTCAAATAGGTGCTCCTAGCCTGACCTAAAACACTAATGTAATAACCTTCTATTTGGGATAAATTATATATTCCAAACCAATCATACTGTGCTGGTAGAAATCTGTAATAGGAATTTGTGTCCTAGCTGTTGGCCACCAATCTATGAAAATTAGAACAGTAAGAATGCAGATATCTGTGAATAAGAGTAGCTTCCTGGAACAGAGATAGAATGGAGCCATAGCAGAAGTGAGCAATCCAAACAAGAATAGCATAGAGATTTCTGATTGTATGAATGATTGCTACTAAGGAATACTAGATATTGATTTGTTGTTGATTGTTTCATTCAGAAATGAATTCCAGAGTTCTTCCACAGTTTTATTCAGCAGCTCGGAGGCATTCTGTCCTGAGTTCATAGCAGATGTTGCTTTTGCATTTGCAATGGATCTAAATAAACATAGATGTCTTATGTAGTTTGACATCACTCCTTCCTCCTACGCACATCTGCAACTGCTGCTGCTCTCCAGACAGCAGCAGCAGCAAGCAGCATTTGGCTGAAGCTACTCTCCCACCTGCACATTACCTTTGAGGCGAGTGGGGTGGGGTCGTCCTTCCTTCCATGACGGATAAGTGATATAAAAAGGGAAATGACCTTGCAAAAAAAAACCATAGAATCACGGAGCAGTTAAATGCTATTTTCTAAATAAAACATTCAGTTAAACTGGGAGCAGGGAATTTGCAGACACTTGTGGGTACTTTTCCTCAGGAGGACTGAAAAACTTTTTATTGTGGATGAGACATAAATGTGTGGGCTGGAGCTGTTCATCTGATTCACTTGGAATTTTATAGCACTGCAGTGCTGGTTTTGATGAAGTTTTACAGCTCAGCCTTGGCATTTAGTTCTAATAGTACTGTATAAATGTTATAAGTGGGTGTTATTTATTGTATCAAAATATTTAAAATTATGTGACCTATGGTATGATAGGCCAACAGTTGTGTTGGCATAGCATTATGTTGTATTGAAAGAACTTTTTCCCTTGTAAAAATAGTTATATTTATATAGAACAAATATAATCACAATCATGCTGGAAGAAGTCTTATGGTACTTTTCTAATTCTGATGTAAGCAAAACTGTACAGCCTTGTTACGAAGGCCCGTATATATTAATAGAAATGAATATGATTTTACTGTGACTGATATCATTAGTGATCAAGGGGTTTAATGCTTATTTACTACTTTCTCTTGTTGAAGTTATTGAAGAACCCAATACCCAGAGGTTTCTGTCTCAACCAGTTGTTGTGTCATCAAAGCTGCAAATCCCTGGCCTACCTTTGCGCTGGGAACAGCAAAGCAAGCTCCTGCCAAGTGTAGCTGGGATCCCAGCCAGTAAAGTTTCTAAGTGGAGTACAGACGAGGTAGGTTTTCCTTGTATCTTTTGTCTCACTGCCAACATCTTCAAATTCTTGGTTGATTCAGAGCTACAGATTAACCTAATAAATTGCAAATGATGACTTAGTACTTGAAGATTAGAGTCAGCTAGACCAGCAGATCCACAAAATGCCCATTCAGCTGCCATCTAGTCCTGAAAGCAGTGAATATTCATTTTATATATGTATAGATACAAGTGTATGCATACATAGAGATACATAGATAAATGTGTATGTATATATAAACAAGTAAATTTATGTGTATATTCACTGAGTTTAGAGAGGGAAAGAAAAGTGCTACAGAAGTATGGCCCAGCAGGTGCTCGAGGTCTACACTGATGACATCTAGCAGCATCACAAGCATTTTGTGGAAGAGTATACTGGTCAGCTTGGACTGAGGACTATTCCCTATACATAGTTTGGATATGACACACTGTTCTAGAAAGTTAGAGTGTAGTGCAAAGAGTGATAGTATTTTGATGGTCAGAGCCCTGCCACTCTTCAGGTGTGTAGTCATGCTTGGGCAGAGAAGGTCTAGTCCCTGCTTTATTTTCAGAGATGGCTGTAAGTGAAGCAACTTTCTGCAGATGAAACAGTTGGATCTCCTCTAACCAGAGAAAAAAGAAAATTGAAATTTGATCAAGGATTTGCTAATCCTTCTGCTGTAAAGAGAGAAGAGAGAAGGCATTAGCTAATTTTGTTTGTGGAAAGAGAACCAGTAAGAGAAGACTCACAATTCTGGATCTTCCTGGTAGAATAACTGAGTGATTTTAAGGGAGTATCTGTATTCCAGTCTTAGATGTCCTGTGCACAACAGTGATGTGTGCTCCAGCTTGCTAATCCCTCTCCTTACATGTACAGCTCTGTGATTCCATGCATTGACAGAATGTGGAAGACTTAAACTGAGGATGCAAAAACAGCTAAAAACCATTGCTTTAATGCTTGTCAGCATTTAAGATTATTTTGAGAAAACACTAGCCTTACTAAATCTGTCATTTTATTCTTTGTGGCAGGTCTCTGAATTCATACGGAGTTTACCAGGATGTGAAGAGCATGGCAAGGTATTTAAAGATGAGGTGGGTACATTTTATTTGAAAAAATTACAGAATAAAACACTTAATGGAAAGATTAATTTTATTTTATCAGTAAAGACACATAAGAAGTGTTTGGATGAATTTTATGTTTGAAATCAGAAGCAAGTATATGGACTGTCGGGCTGTTTTGCAGCTAGTAGGGTGAGAAGAAAGAAGATAAAGCTAGCTAGGTCGAACAGGTCTTATCTGATCACACTTAATCTTGAAGCTCTTCCTCCTGACATAGCCAGTTTATGAATGTGATTTGAATGCTTCTAACTAGGTTAAAAGGAGTGTGTACTTACTTTGTGAGCATGCCAGGTGTGAATTTCTGGAATCTGAGATAGTTATACCATAGTTGTCATTAGCAAGTGCGAGGGCTTTTCAGTACAGTAGGCCTTTATAATCTGTATTGGCTTTTGTATTTCCTCTCAGAGGTTTGTTACTCGTAGTACTTCTTCATTCCAAAAAGGCTAATTGATCACAGTGTGAATAGTTCAGGTGCTTATGTCCACCAGGCCATATGAATGGGCAAAGTGTGATACTGTAATATCCCATGTCAGCCACCTTGCTAGTGGAGAATAACTGTGGTACTTAAACTTGAGAAAGTAAATGCACCTCCTGAGCATGGCTCTGCTAATCCTCTCCTGTGACAGAAGTTTACAGGCTGTGATATAGATTTTAATTATAGTTTCATATCTAAGGACTGACAAGTTGCATGGGCATTTTGCTCTTGTTTAGGTTTTAGGCATTTTACAATTGTATCTATGCAGATATCTATGCAAATCTATCTATGCAGCTATGCAGGCCTAATTCATCTTGTGTCACTTAGGAGGACCTTCCAAGAAGTTTAAAAATCAGTAACGTCTGGTACACTGCTGATTGAATCAACAGATGGGAAGTGCCACAGAGATGGATAAATCCTAAATACTTTTGTTTTCAGAGGTTTAAGAAAATGATTGCCCCCTCTAAGGGTTAAACTCCATTTGTCTCTCCAGGACCATTATCTGCCAGTGATGCCAACCAGAGTGGACTGGCTGGTATCTGTACAGTTCATAGAGAAGTCATACCCCATCTACTAATTCTAACTGACACACAGGCATGAAAGATGCTCGTTCTGGAATGCCCTATTAAACTTACAACTGAAGGTCTTTCAGTAGGTGGAAGGTGTTGGTTCAGACTTCTGCTGTGGAGATGAACTCCTATCCTTATGTTATGAAGTTGCAAAAAGCTGAGCACCCCCACACTGCAATGCTCCTAGTTTTAAACCCATCCAGTTTGACTTTGTAAACAAAATGAGTTGACAGTAACCATGATAAACATGTGGTGCTGTTCTCACTGCCGTGCCTTTCAGCTTTCAGTGTTGCAGTGTTCTGTCTTAACAGCCTGTCTGATTCAGAAAGCTCGTGTTCTGGTCTCACAGCAAATGAATTACACTAGTTCTATCTCAAGTCAGTATCTCTAAATCTAAGCAGTGCTCCCAGTTTAAACACAATTGACTTTTAGGCTTAGCTGTCCTGCTTACACTGAAAAGTTGCTGAAGATACCAAAGATACTGAAGTTTACCAATAAATATTTGCCCCAGTTTGCTCTGGAATGTGAGGGCTTTGGCTCTTCATGTTCTGATTTAGAATCCTGGTTACAGAATGATTTGCTTACAGGAGAATATTCACTTGTAATGTTTATTTAAAAAAATAGAAACAACACGAGAAAAATAAAGTTTTTTCAAAAGTTGCATTTGTATCAGAGGCAGTTTTACCTAGTCTAACCCGTGTTTACATTTGGGGCATTCATTTTAGTTTCCTATTGAATGGACAGAGAGAAGTAGCCTGAAGAGGGATTCCAGTTCTTTAGCTGGGTGTGAAATCTGGAGGCTTGCTTATGAAGGCTTGCATACAAACAAGGAAAAGCTAAAATGGCAAAATTAGTTACTGTGTTGCATTACTGCTGAATTCTACTTCATTGACCTATTTTACATTTTAGTAGCTTTTATTTTAATACTGTCAGTATGAAAATAAACACTGGCTAGCTAAAAGGATCATCAGCCTGTTCTTTTGGACCAGCTAATCTGTCTAAAAAAATTATAGCAAGGCTATCCTGAAGTTTGAAAGCAATTGTATTCAACCATTCTTTTAAATTGTTGGGTAATTTTCTCTTTATGTTTTCTGAAACATCTATACTGCTTCACTGTCAGACCTGTTAATAGCTTTGTGTGTTTTTCTTTTAAAGCAAATTGATGGAGAAGCATTTCTGCTAATGACCCAATCAGACATAGTCAAAATAATGAGCATTAAACTGGGACCAGCCCTAAAAATCTTTAATTCCATTCTGATGTTCAAAGCTGCAGAGAAAAACTCACACAATGAACTTTGAAGATAATGGAAAACGTGTACAAGCCAGCTTCCTCCACTGGAGCTCATGTTTTATTCAAAGCACAAAGACTCACCAGAATTATTGAGTAAGGACTCTCAGAAAGGAAGAAAAGTGTGTTCTGCACTGGTGGACTATTCATATTCTCCTAGAGCCAGTATACATCTGAATCCTTCTGGGAAGTGCTCATGCTTTTAAGAAGGTACTTTTTAACAACCAAGTCAGCTAGTCTGATTTACCAAACTAATGGAGCTAATTCTCCATGGAGGGTTAGGATCTCTCATGCTCTCTGGTCACCAAGAAAAAACCTTCATTGATTATTTATGCTGTATTATATAAGGGAACGTTAATATTTTCTAAGAATTCCTGAATTCTGCTTCGTGTACTCATTTTACTTTTTGGTAGCTATTATTTCTTACCATCAAAATAAAAAAAAAATAGCCAAAAAAATTGGGCTATGGGTAGCCAAATGAGACTGTTATGGCTAATGCAAATTTGTGCCATAGTTTGAAAATGAAACAGTTAATGTTACATATGTGACACTTTATGCTACAGCATATAACTTTACAGATTATAAAACTGTCTGTTTGCTTGTAACAAAACAAACCTTGTTGGGGTTGAAATTATAATGCTTTTTTGATAACTGAATGTTTTTACTTTTGCACGATTACAAAAATGTTATGTGAGTTTTTCCACCAGCATCTTTAATGTATTTTACCAAAAGATCAGTATCGAGAAGGCTGCAACTGAAAAATAAAGTTTGACTTCATAGAAGACATTCATTTATGCTGCACAATAGAACCCCAGCCTTTTACATGGGAGCCTGCTTACAGTCCTTCCACACATGAAGGAAAATACATGTATTTTGAGGTAAGACTATTAGCAAAAAAAGAGAATATATTTATTCACGTCTGCACATGCTAGTCTCCAGTATACTTACCAAAACAGTGGAGAAAAACAGTGTGCTAAAGCTAGGACTGCTACTCTGGCTTCATATGCAACATAAGCTTGTATTCTTAGTGGTGGAAGAATTATTTAACCGACCACTTCTTAGTTGAAAAATCTGATTTATAAACGAAGCATAGCCGGAAAGCCAAAGCATGGAGGGAAAAGCTACTTAAACACATATCCTGCATAGGCATGAACTAGGTAAAAGGCATGGGTTTCACCAGGTCATTAGCAAGGCTGCAGATTCCACTAGCAGGTACTTGGAGGCTTATTATGTCAGGGAAATTTGTTGCACTTGGTATATATACGTAAGATGTAAACCGGATGCACTTTACACTGGAGAAAGCCTAGCTACTAGTATACCAGAATTTTGCTTTTACAAGAAGAGAGAGAAGAGTTGGATCAAGCTTTTGGCAGCCCTCTTCTTAGTACTGAGGTGGGCAGTTGCTTAGTCTGTAGTTAAGAACAATGTTTCCATTGCACAGAACTTTGAGAATTTTAAATCTTCCCACAGATTTTGCTAGGCTGTTCTTTGGCTGAAGTTCCTTAAGATTTCAAGAACCCTTTGTGCCCCTTCCAGGTCACACTGGTGACTGGTACCTGCCATAATATGAGGTAAAACAGGGTCAGTATGAAGTAAGTTGCATTGCTCTATTAATTTCCTTCCATAGCATTGCATAAATAATATTTTTACATTTTGTTCAATATTTGTACAGTCAAATTGCACTCTTATTGTACTACAATACAAATAAAACCTGAATTGGACCTGTCTGTTACATTTGTGTATGCCCAGGATTCTCAAATTAACCTGGATGTTTCAGAGTGTGGAGCAGTTCTTCACTGTATTTTATTGTGTTCATGCATCTGAAAGAGCAGCTCAGCTACTGCCAGCTCATCTCACCCAAAACATTTCCTAGATCCATAAACTTGAATTTTGTCATTGACCACAGCTGACGTGGAACAGAAAATGTTACATTCTTTAGTTTTCTTTCCTTCCATGTAGTTCACTTCCTTGAACTCTCACTTTCGGTGTGTATTTTTCTCTCATGTGCCAGCTCTGGAGCCTTCACGGAGAACCAGTGTTTTGCTGCTCTGCAGTAATCACTTATGAACATTAGCAATTACCTGAATTTTTATATACCTACTTATAGCATACTGTGGTTTAATGAAATGGTTTAGTTAATTCTCTTTACAAGATGTAGAAAACTTCATTTGAATGATGCTCTCTCTATTTAGCAAGAGCATAATCACTACATTCTTCACTACATTCTTCACTTTTGTATGACATGTGATGAGGTAACAGGGCAAACTCTGTTACAAAGGCTACACCCAACAAAAGCAGTAGGACATGAAAATTACTCCAACACAGTGGATCTTTGAAATGGTAATCACAGTGGTTTTCAACATTGTGTTGGAGGTGACCCAGCAGTTACATAGCTAAGGATATCCCACAGTTTCCATGAGAGGCAAGTGAAAATCCTCAGACTTCTTTCTGCAAGAGTCTGCCCTCATGCTGCACTGTTCCACTGTAGTCTCTGAATTGGACTCGCCCTTGAGCAACCAGCACTTAAGAAAACGCCTGCAGCTTCCCAAGCCACGTGTTTGAGTGTGCAGAATACTGGTGAATGCAGATACTGCTTGGACTACATCAACACTTCTAACAGTAGTGAGAAATGAAACTCTTTAGCAGAATGCAGTGCAGTTTGGTTTTTATCTTTTTTTTTTTTTTTTTTTTTTTTTTTTTTTTTTTTTTTTTTTTGAAAAAAAGCTGTTTACCATCCTGTATATACAACTAACGCAGTGGTCAAGCTTGCTGGCAGCTGCTATTGTCCATCACTGTGAGCTTATCCAGAGTCATTCACTATATCAGGATTTTCAGATGTGCAAGGCACATAAGGAGTTAACAGGACTATGGGAGGGAGAAAAGGAGACCGTGGAAGAAGAGAGAAGGGCTCCATTTTGTGTGGGCAGACAGGACATGTACCATGTGGAGAAGGCTGATCTGTTATGGGGAAAAAGCCCAGATAGAAAATGAGGCATTTGTTTCCAGCACAAAAGCTGTTGTTGCACATGCACATGACAGCATCCCAGAAAGTCATTCTTGCTACTTTGAGAACTGATCTCAGAATCCTTATTTAGCAAACTTTGGATTTATGTTAAAAGAAAAAAGAAAACATTTAATGCATCAAAAAAAGCATGAAAACTCATCATTCTCCAAATTGTAAATTAAGCCCAGTATTATAAAATAAATACATTCAAGCACTCTCAATAATCACATGAAGATAATATAGTGAGAGAGGTAACAAATCTTTAATTTGTGTAAATTCAGAACATTAAGTGCTCACATTAACTTCTGAGTATATATTTTAATTCTGATGGTAAAAATATTGTCTTCATTTGTAAAATGCTCTGTGTGGAAAACTGATACATAACACATGCAGTAAACTAGAAAATCTTATTTGCTCTAATGCTTCCAGACTGCTCTAGACAATTTTAGATTTTTTAAAAAGTAGCCAGTACAATTTTTAAAAAGCAGACATTGTTGAACAGAACTGTTAGAAATATACAGATGCTTTCACTAGAACGAGTGCACTGATTTATCTTCACAACAAGGAGATTTGACAAAATTCCAGATGTTCCTGAGATGAGTACACTAGCAAACACTGGGATGTTTAGGCATCTCTAGTTCTCTCTTTACCTGACCTGGGAGGAATGCTTGAGGGATGTTCATCTCAAAGATCAGGGACACCAGGAATTTCAGCGTCCTTTGGATTCTGCTTGGGCACTGGATATTGAACACATGAAATGCAGCCACCAGTGCTGCCAGAGCTGTGGTGCAGTCACTGAGCTGGGTTACCTCTTGTTTTTCTATGTACAGAGCAAACCTGCATGAATTCACATTGAAGGGATTTTTAACTTCCAACACTGGTGTCAATACTTTCACCTAAATTAAGAAAAAGAATATTTCAAATGATATCACAGCATCATTTGGTGAACTGTAAGTTGTAGCATCAAAAAATTCAGTAAGCCTAGTAACACTGCTTTGAATTTAATCAGCATTTCTGCGAACATTTGCCTTTCATCCAAAAGGAAGGAAAATGTCATCCTTCTCCAGGAACTAATCTGGGCCACCAAGAGGCTGAGGGATATGCCCAGGCAGCTCATAGGAGCAAGACCACAGCTCTGGTGCTTTCTCCTACCTCCTCATTCAGTGCAGCAAACAGACTGGAGTCATCTCCAAAGACATCTGGTAGAAGTAAACATGCAGCAGTCATCTTCATATCTGTGAAAGACAAGGATTTTCTGAATTACAAATGAAAATATTCTGGCACTGTGGCATCATCCTGGAAAAACAGATTGTGGCTTATGAAATAACTAACAGCTCAGCAGTGGAACTGCTGCTCAGTTCATTTTGAAGAATAGCTTGTGCCACAATAAAAGTTTAGGTACCTCATCTGGCAATTCAAACTCATAAAGCTATCACAAACTCAAGGTTCCGATTGGGAAATGCATATCTTCCTTATCCTTTAGTGGTCCTGGTACCAAGCTTGCTAGAGTTCAAGAAGCATCTGGACAATGCTGTTGATCATGTGGTCTGATTTTTGGGTGGTCCTGTGTGGAGCCAGAAGTTGGACTGCTTATGTGACCCTTCCAACTCAGGTTATTCTATAATTGATTTGAATTATGCCTTTTTGGACAGCAAGTGACACTCTCAAGAAGCACTTCTCAAAGATTTTAGTTCCAGTGTAAGGATCTACAGCTGCTGTTCAAGAGGAGTAAATTTAACGAGTAACTCCTTCAAATGTTTTGTCCATACAGAACTAACCTCACCTCAGTTTTCTAATTGAAATAAGGTGAGTGGCAGCAGTTTTCTTACTCCCTTCTCACAGCCAGCAAGCCAAACACTAAATAGACCTCTGTGTGTGACTCAGATCCCTGCTTTTCAGAGACTTTATGCTACACAAGTTTGTGCTTTCACTCCTGAAGTGTATTTACTCCTGAAGAGACAGGTATTTGAAAGGCATCAGTAAGTACTTACATTGTTTCACTTCCAGCTTAAAAACAGTCCTTCTCTTTCTAAGGAAAAGTGTTTTTTTACAAGTGTTCTTCTGAATTCTTAAAGAAAAGATGTTAACCTCCTTAAACCCTTTTTTTATTGCTGAGCATGTTGCATGGCATGGTACATCTCTTTGGCTAGTTTGGGCCATCTGCCTGGTTGTCCCCCGCCCCCAGTCTCTTCTGCATATCCCCCAGTTCTACTCACTGGGAAGAAGAACGAGGAACAAGCTACCTTTAGGCTGTGCAAACACTGCTCAGCAACAGCTAAAAAATTGTGTTTTCAGCATTGTTTTGGTCACCAATATAAAACACAGCACCATACTGACTTCTCTGAAGAAGGTTAATTCCATCCCAGCCAGACCTAGTACAGATATTTAGAGCATAGATTTGTACTGACATTTTAGAATGTTTTCCTCTGTGTTCTGTTTCAGATGTTCCTGCAGCATAATGTTAATCGGATTATTCTTCACCAGACATAAAGATAATATGCTTTCTGAATAAATCTCCAAAATCTTAACTGTTTTCTGATAAACATCCATGTGTGTGAGAATCTGGAACTCCCTAAAAAGCTAAAATAAAACAAAATAAAATAGTTATTGCAATACTTAAAGCCCAAACTGAAAACAAGAAATGAGGTTCATGCTTTGAAGACAGGGTAAGATAAGTAAAAACAGACTGTAAGTTGGATGATATCGTGGCTTCATTTCTTTTCAAAACAGGGAAGAAGTACATGAAGTATCATCGAAGGAGTTCTAACAACCCACTGCTGTTGCATGTGGCATGGTTAACACAGAACTGATGCAAAAAAATGTTAAAGAAAACAATGTTGATCAATACTTCTGCAGAAACATCCATGAACACCCACAGTTGTGTCACATCTATAATATAGATCAATGCCATTATTAAGTATAGTGTTACCTGATAGGGGCATCTTAAGAAAGGAAATAGTCTAAGAATGTCTTTTAAAGGTGTCTTGTCACAGATCATCTTCCTTCGTATTTGTATTGTTGCATTCATTTTATTATTCACTTCTTTCCAGTTTCTCAGAGTTTTCATATATTCTTGCTTCAGCCAGTTAATGTGTACATACATTGCACCACCTTCAAGATAAGCAGGTTCTTCCTAGCAACAAATCAAGGACAGAATTGTAAGACATCACCTTTCATCTGATGTGGGATATCTTGTCAGTTCACACTGGAGTCTACACCAGTGTGTAGTTAAGCTTAGCAGAAGGGATCTAGAGGGCAGCTTTAGTACTGGCTATGTGAATTGACTGTACTGTCACTCTGTCGTATACATAGAATCTGTCTTCATGTGGTTCCAGAGCTACCAGCTAGGTCTCCCAGGCTCAAATTATGCATTAGAGGATATGCATTAAATTCATGTGCCTAGTTTGCCTAATTGTGGGTTGTGTTTGTTTGTTTGTTTGTTTGTTTGTTTGTTTGTATAATTAACAGGCAGTTCTAATAATAATAGAATGGCCTGGGTTGAAAAGGACCATAATGATCATCCAGTATCTCACTGTTACTCTTTAGCAATATTAGCTCTGTATTGTCAAGAAAAATAGGATTTTCTTCTTACTCATTCGGGTATTAAAAGCAGGACAACAAGCTTCCATATTCATACAATTAAAGTATTTACCAGGAAGGAAACCAGAAGAATTAAGAGAAATAAATCTCTTAATGGAAAGCATTATTTGGATTGCT